AGTTCAGGAGAGCAAAGGGTCTCAGGGTCCACTTGATATCACACCTTGGATCTGTGTGGTGCTCCAAGGATGCCACAGCGCGTACACAAACACCTGTGGCCTTGAGCTGTGTGACCTCTCAGGCGACCTGAGGCTCAGCAGGCCTAAGTAGCCCGAGGCTTCACAGCCCACGGTGCCCGGACTGCAAGTCAGGTTTTCTGACTCCTGTTCTGCTCTTCTTCCCATCTGGTGTTTGCCTTCGTGTGATTTTCGAAAAAAGGTAATCTTTCGAAAAAAAGTAATCTAAAAGTAATCTCTGCACCCAATGTGGGGTTTGACCTCACGACCCCAACACCAAGAGTCGGATGCTCTACCGGCGGAGTCAGCCAGGTGCCCTGTCTTTGCGTGGTTTTTGTTTAAGTCATGCTTTAGCCCTGGAGAGCTGAGAAATGATATTCCTCTTCGTTGAGCTGGAGAGTCGAGCAACAAATCCGCACAGAAAACTGGCCCTGGACGGCAGGGCTTCTCATCTGCCAGGATCTGTGTTTTAGATAAAAAACCACCTGGAGGTGGGGGGATTCCAAGAGGGGAGCAGGGCGGCGGAGGTGGGGGGAACGACGGCCAGGGAAAGCCGGCATCCGCCTTCAGGGCACCTTCTAGCTTTCAAACTGAAAAGGTACAGCTTCTCTGCCTCAGTTTCCTCTTCTACAAGTCTCTGAAGCGGCTGGGGGTGGGGGACGGAAAGGAATGGGGAGTTATTGTTCAGTGGGTACAGTGTCAATTTGAGACGAAGAGAAGTTCCAGAAATGAAGAGTGGGGACGGCTGCACAACGCCGTGAAGGTATTTGATGCCACTTAAAAGTGGTCGAGACGGTAAATTTTATGTTGTGTGTTGTCCCACAGTAAAAAGTAAATGGAGGGGATGGGGTTAGCTGAAGGCTTCTACACATCTGTCAGCTCTGAGAGTCTGGGGTTCTTACCCTGACTGGAGATTTCCTTCCAAAGCAGCGTTGCCTTCCCAAGTGCTTTCTCCCCTCATCTCTCAGAACTCTCCCCCGCAGGACCCCAACCCTGTTCTTACACAGAAAGGGACCCCCTGGACTGACCGTCCTGCAGCAGGCGTAATGACCGAGGGGGATGTCTGCATTTAGTCTGTGTCACCGATGAGGCTGGCTCCTTGTTGGACGGCTGGGGCAGAGATGGAGCTTTTTGGAATCGTGACAATCAAAGTAATTTGATGGATTGATGTCCTCTGCTAAAAGTGGCATTGGGCCTTCGCTTTCGGACAACTTGCCGAGATGGCGTGGGTGTGGGAACCTGCCCAGCTGGGTCCTTGCGAGAAATCCGGAACGGCCCAGGGAGGCTCCGGCCCTCTCAGCGGTGGGTCTGACCCCGCGAGCCCATCTCCAGCCTGAGTGTGAGCGCAGACGCTGGGCCAGGACCGGGGCCGGCGCTGGCAGGTGGGCGGGTGATGCACAGCCCAGCATCACACCTGTCGTCCTCACCAGGACCCGGCAGTCAGCCGTCTACGCCGTGCTGGGAAGAAATGAATGCATGGTAACGTGCTCCCCAAACAGCCGAGCGTTTGATCTGCAGCCCGACTGGACTCTTCTTCCACTTGGAGGTATTTGTCTCGTGTCTAACATCCTCTTTTCCACCAGCTCGCAACGTGTCATCAGCACAAGATAAAGTAAAGGGAGCTCTGGACGGACCCCTGCCACGTCTGGAATAGTTCCCTCCGTGTCCCGGATCTGCAGCCGGGGACTGGGAGCCAACCTCGGGCCCGTGGGCTGGGCCGAGAGGGGGCTGCGCCCGAGTCTCCACGAGCGTCTCCCCACGGGGAGGCCCTATGTCAGAGCACAGCCGCCTCCTCCTGCGGAGCTGGGTGTTCCTGGAGAGCCTTGGAGGTCAGATCCCCGGGGCTCAAGGGGCTCCGCTGCCTCTTCATTAGCTTTCGGGGTGGTGTGTGTCGGCCTCCGTGACCTGGACGGTGGGGCCCAGGCCAGCCCTGAGGGTGACCAGCAGCCGCCGTCAGCACAGACCCAAGGAGACGGCTCCAGAGGGCCCCTCCAAACCACCGAGTGAGAAGAAGGAAGGGGAGTAGCGAGCGTGTAGGGACCCGCGTGTGGGAGCAGGAGCGCGGGCGGCCCACAGGCCCGGCCAAGGCGACGCGTCCAGGCCCAGTGCGGGCCACGGGCTGCCGGCAGCCACGCGAAGCACATCCCAGGCTCAGGCTTGGAAGGGCAAGCGAGCTGGGGGCCAGGCGACCCCCGGACGGTCACCCAGCAGCCAGAGGCCTTGGGGGCCGCCTGACCCCTAAGCTGGGTCTGCTCTGCCATCCACGTCGAGGTGAAGTTCCAGTGGCCTATCCCGCGGGAAAATTGTCACCTCGTGTTGAACACGTTGCCTTTCTAGGTCTAGTTTGTTAACCCGTGTCTGCAAACTCTGGGGGTGCAGTGCCAGGACGCCCACTGCCCCCCACAGGGCCCTGGGCTAACCACAGTGCTCGGCTGCTTTCTCACCCAGGGCCCCCGAACAGGCCGGTTAGCTGCAGCGTCTGCCGCCAGGATTGTATTTGAAAACTTGGGGATCCCTGGAGGGCTCAGTGGTTCGGCGCCTGCCTTTGGCCCAGGGCGTGATCCTGGAGACCCAGGATCAAGTCCCGCATCAGGCTCCCTGCATGGAGCCTGCTTCTCCCTCTGCCTGTGTCTCTGCCTCTCTCTCTCTCTCTCTCTCATGAATAAATAAATAAAAATCTAAAAAAAAAAAAAAAAAGAAAGAAAACTGCAGACGCGCATCAACACAATTCATGGCTTGCCTCCATTCAGCATGAACATCTAATGCCTTTGCTTACGCATCCCAAAGCACCTCCCTGGGACCCATCTCACCTAAGAACCTTAGAAATGTGTTCAATTCACAAAGCAGGGCTAACGTGTGTGTGTGTGTGTGTGTGTGTGTGTGTGTGTGTGTGTGAATGTGCTTTTGCTTATCTAACCATAGATAGAGTGCAGCATCTGATGACATCACTTAACTCCGTTTGCATTGTGAGCCTGGCCCCAAATGGCCCTGTGCCCACTTCCTGCATTAAAGAGCAGGGTGGTGGGGCCCCTGGGTGGCTCAGTGCTTGAGCACCTGCCTTCAGCTCAGGGCTGATCCTGAGGTCCTGGGATTGAGTCCCGCATCGGGTTCCCCACAGGGAGCCTGCTCCTCCCTCTGCCTGTGTCTCTGCCTCTTTCTGTGTATCTCTCAAGAATAAATAAATAAAATCTTAAAAAAAAAAAAAAAAAAGAAGAGCAGGATGGGAAAGCTGCTTTTCTCTCCCCATTCCGCCTAAGCTGAGAAAGGTCCCAAGTTGCCTTCTAGATCACAAATACACAGCTTTTCTCCTCCCTCTGCCTGAATTTCCTCTACTTGAGGAGGACATCAGTGATACAGCCCAGCGAAACTTAGGCCCGCAGATATAGATGTGACGAAGGGTCTACAAGCGGATACGTGTGGGCTCCATGGGAGCTGGTGCCTATCCTATGAAACACAAAGAAAACAGAGGCACCAGTTTCCCCCTGGCTTCCTCATTCTCCAGGATACATTTAGACCACGAATGCCATACCCACTTCCTCCCACACTGGAGCCCTGCATTGACCCACACCTGCTGGATTTAGCTCTGTGGCAATACCCACACCCACAAGCAACCATTGCATCCTGGCAGGACTCCTACTTTCAACCACTTGTCTCTGGCCTGATTCAACACAACCGGCATCTTCCACAGCTGACTTACTCCTTCTTGGGCAGAGTGGTCTTTCTTGGGTTTTGTGGTGGTGGCTGCCCAAATATGGTGGTGGATTTCTTTGGGATGAGGTCAAATTAGAATAAGAAAAATAAAAGTCCATCTGGTTAAGTGAAAAGCTTAGGTCTATAAAAAGGAAAGGGTTTTTGAAAATACTCTTTATTTTGTGCTTAGAGGAAATCTCTAAACTTTTTTCCTTTTATTGGTGATGGGAACACAGATTTGGAGGAAAACATTTCCATCTACTCTGAAAAACAAGATGGCAGGGAAAGCCAGGTCCAGGTTTGCTCTAATTGTCTAGGGTTTGTAAATTTATGAGGGTTGTCAGTGGCAAGCCATGCAGGAGTCCTACTTCTTTAACCCAAGAGAGTTTCTAGCCAAGAAGGGGAGGGATGTTGGCTCAATGTTCCTGATGGACGTGTTGGTTCTACTCCCATACCACTCGCACCCAATAGTGTCAGAAAGGTTCCCGACAACATTTTAGACTCCCCATCTCTAGAGAGACCGCTGCTAATGCTACAGAAGGGAGGCCATTCCCAGGGCTGCTTTTAGTTTCTGGTGGGACAGCCACCACCCAGGAGCCTGGGGGCCGGGCAGAGGTGGGTCCTGCAGTGGCTACGACCACTCGTTGGCTCTCAGCCAGCCCTACACAGTAATAGGGATCAGGTCATTCACCAGGCCACACCTAGGCCACGCTTTTGCTGGAGCCTCAAGGGAGCAATACGTCCTAGCAGAAGAACCAGATGGAGAGGATAAAGGGGAAAGAAAAAGAGGGAAGAGGGAGGAAGGGGAGAAACAAAAGAGGGAGAAACTCAAACTAAAAGGGTTCTTTCAGCTGGGAATTGGCCACTCTTCTTAACGCCATTTTCCATGGGGGAAAAAAAGTGCTCTAAGTCTCCAATAATGAAGTTGGATATTTTCTATACAAAGCCATACCCACCAAGAAGGAAATATTAAGCAAGCATTCAAGAGAACCAGATGTTTTAGTTTTTTTTTGTTTTTTGTTTTTTGTTTTTTTTGTTTTTTGTTTGTTTTTTTTAGAAAATATCTAGGTCAGGTCTTCTATAAAAATTGAGCTGAATGAATGTTCTTTTTAAGTTGGGACGGGGACACCCAGAGGTGCCCTCGTGTCACCATTTATCCTTGACTGACTGGTCACTTCGGCAAGGTCACTGGTACAGAACACATTGATAAAGACAATCATTATAGCAAATAGGACAACAATAGCTGGTTCTACCTCCATGCTAGTATTAGGGTCAAGATCATCACACTCTGACTCCTCGGAACTGTTCGTCTCCTTGGAGGGCAGCATGAGGAAGGGGAAGAAAGAGAACATAGTTAGAACATAGGCAGCTCTTGCTGGAGAGTGAGGAGAACGTCAGAAAAGCACGAGCAATGGGAAATCGGGCAGAGAAAAACACCAAGTGCTTCTAGGGTGGGGGTGCTGATCACCCGGGGTGGGAGCATGCTCTTTCCGGGCGGGGGGTGGGGTGGGTAGGGAGGGAAGGAGGCTGGAATCGTGTGCCGCCCCGCATCTCGTGGGAAACCGCAGTGGAAGGGGCAACCACAGGAAACAGGAGTCCTGTAGAATTTAAACTCTTGTCTTCTGTGAGGCTGGGCTTCCCCGAGGAGAGTGAAGGAGGGGATACAATTTCTTTTCCCCAAGAAGGACGGTAGCATAGGTTTTGGTTGTCCTTATTTCGCTCAGGAAGGGGAAAAAGTGCCGCGTGGGTCATCACCCAGCATAGTGATGTTCAGCATCAGCAGTCTAATTCCCACTGTCCAGAGTCAGGTCTTTTCCGAGGGCCCAATGCAAAGAAAACGGATCACATTGTTTCAGGATGGCGGGCGGGGGGGGGGGGGGCAAGGGGCTGCCGAAGCTTAGCATCAGTGGGTTCACGGTAAGAGGGGGGATTGTTACAAAACCAGTAACTTGGGCTTTGCCAGTGTGCCTCCCCTTCCCTGCCCATGTGGGGGCCTGAAAATGATGTCGTCTGAATTCTGGGGAAAAGAAATGAAACTCCACCAAGGCCATAGTGGCCCTGAGATTCCAAACCTCAGACTTCACGGGGTTGGAGGTTTGGCAAGCACCCCTCATCTCCTTACCCCGCGTGTGTTTTCAAACCTAGGATACTGAACGGGCAGCTTTGAGAGCTTCGGTATGAACCAAACATCTTGCATTTTTATAAGAATAACGCTGCAGATAATTTCGTTATAAGGCATGTGCACAGTATCAGGAGAAAGGTATAAAGGAAAAAAAAAGATACTTACTTATTTGAATCGAAGTTGCCGGGAGAAATAAAAAATAAAAAAATAAATTGATCTTGCATGCAAAATCCTGCTAAACTACTTCCCCTCTGGTCCCCACACTGGGAAAAAAAAAATCCCCGTCCACCCAAATTGCCTCGTGAGATGCTGCAGGGTGGGAGTAGATGAGAGGTGGGACACAGCTCTGGAAGACCTTACTCACTTTAACAGAGACTTTGTTGCCCAGAATATCCTTGGGTTTACGAGCCCCTGTGGCTTCATTTTTACCCGTGTTCTCCACTTCTGCCCGCTTTCTCATTCGTAGAGTATGCCATGAACATGACTTCCTGTTGTACCAAAAAATGCACCAGTCAAAATGGCAGGTCAGGGCAGAGTGAGGCGGTGGGTGGGCTTGCCACCCTTGGGTGAGTAGTAGGTGAGATGCTCCAGTCAAGCCCCAGCTTCAGAGGCCCCGAACCTGCACGCCAGCTCCTGTGGTGGCTGGTAGCTGATCTTGCCTCCAGGAGGGAGAGTGAGGATGGGCTCTGGCCCCTCCTGAGAGACGTGCAAGGTTGGCTGCAGCACTTGAGGAAAATACGAGGACTGGGTGATTAAACTCTACCAAGGAAGTCTTTGTATCCTACTGATGAAGCCTCAGAGGACTGAGGAATTCCCTTCCTGAGCAGTATACTGGATGGTAGAAGAATGAGGTGGGGCGGGGGCGGGGGGTTAAACAGAACAGAGAAGCGTATTTTATGGTGCAGAAACTACTGGTACATCCCCAGGGCCACATATAAAGACCAAAAGGATGATTTTGAGGTTCGCATCTCATTATTTGCATCTGGGCTGTGGCTACTCCCAAACACTGTACTACAGGTAGGATTCTCTTCTAGGGCATTTGATTTAATACACAGTTCAGCACCACTCATTTATCTGGTTATTTTAGGATAAAGAGTTTCTTGGTTTATGTCCTCCACATCACTCAGTGTTTGTGAGTAAAGAGCTCTGTTGAGCGTTAAGAGGTCCTAGAGATTTCCTGGTGGGAGAAGACCCACCAGGGTGCTCTCAGGGTGCTCTCAGGGTGGTGGGAACAGCAATCCCCTCTCACGCTACCCCAGCTTCCTCCTTCCTACAAGGGGGTTGGAGGCTCCTTCACGGACGTGTAAAGAGAAGCTCGGAGCTGAGCTCCTGGGTTCCACGTATGTCCAGGGCTCAAAAACAAAGATGCCAAAAGCCAAGTCACAAATAGCATTGATGACCCTGAGCAGGCGTCATCGGTTTCAGGTGTGGTCACAGAATTTGGATGAAGTTCTATCATTGTCTGGAATAAGTGAGGTTGGCCTCCCTTCAGGGTCTCCTTGTCAAATGTAGGGCTTTGCAGACAGAGCTTGATGAAAAGAGCCTTCGTTAAGGGAAAGAGGAGAGGGAGAGGGAGGGAGAGAAAGAGGGAAGGAGGGAGACAGAGAGAGAAAGGGGCACAAGGTTTAGGAGGAAGGAGAATGTTCTATTATGTCAGGAATTTTAGGATGTCCTGAAGGTGTTTCCAAAATATTTATCACTAACACACACGTTCAGTGCTCACCCTTCCGAATAGGAAAGAGCAGTTACAGTCACATTCTCAAATTTTGGGGGGATGTGGGCTCCATCAGAAAACAAGAGTCTCTCGGCCAGACCTTCTCTTGTGCCTCCTGAACAGGCAGGCTCCCTAGCATACCAGCAACTCACGTCGGTTGTTGTACCTCAGCAAGAACCAGTCATGGAGACTAACCCTAGACAGTATCATTGTTAACTTCAGATATTCATTCACCTCATAACTTTAACCCCCAAATCCACATCCCTGACTCAGTCTGAGAACACCTTTGAGTCAGGGAGGTCCATGCCGCATGTCCTAGGGTGGACAGCCCAGTGGGCGTGGGCGTGAGTGTGGGGCATGTTCCTACGTTTATTACAACCCTCTGGGTCATTCCATATGGTTGGTGAGAAGCTAGAAATGTTACAAATAATGTTCAGAAGGAAGACTCAGAGTAGTATCAGTGGCAGGACAGGCTCAATTTCATATTCTTCTTCCCAGAAGAAGTCGTCATCATGGTTTGGGGAGCTTCCATCACTTGGCCACGGGAACTGACGTGGAAACAGGGTTTCAGTAACATTTATGCTGGAGACATCACACCCAACTCTGACTCCTGTGCTCAGAGTAGGCCCTGGGGGCGTGTCCTTCACTGATAAATACCGACAACCACTTCAAGTCTGTGGCTTTGCTCCCCCCCTGCCCCGCCCCCCCAACCCTTGTGCAAGAGGGGCTGACAAGGGACCAGAATGACCCATTTGTACTTGGATCTGGTCTCTTTCACCCAGCCTGACGTCCCTTCTCCCTTTCCTCCTGCGGAAGGTATAAAAAAGTGATCAAAAGACGCCAACGTGAGGAGGAAGCGCTGAGTGGCTGGATAATTAGATCAAGAATCATGACAAGTTAGCTCTGTAAGGCGATTGATTACTAAGGACTTCAGTGCTTTGAGGGACCTTATTTCTGAGGCTTCTTAAAAGGTACCAAAAGCAAATGTCTTTAGAATAAAATGAATTGGGTCTATTGTGCCTTGGAGGCCATGACTGCCTTCCAGCTGGGCCTATGGTTACCTAGCAAGGCCAGGGGCAGCTCGGTAGCCTCTGTGCCCTGAGCTCGAGAAAGGGCCAAGGAAGTACTGCTCTGCTGGTATCCCCATCAGCCGTCTTGTGGGGGGTTCCCTCTACCTCTGCCGTGGAGGGCCACACGGCATGGAAACCCCGGGGGTGCAGGTGCAGGCCAAACACTGCCCTGTACCCCAGTCATTCCTTTACATCAGCACCTCAAGGGCACCCAGTTGGACAGCATTCAATCTGTATGATTCCACACCTCAGGGGTTAGAGACAGAGAATACGGGCTGCTGAAGGGAAGGCTAGTATTGGAGCTTTAGCGACAAAAGCGCTTTTTGGGGAGGAAAAAACTGCCAATGCATTCAACCGATTCCTAAAATACAGAAAAGGGGGGAGGAAAAAAAAAGAAGAAGAAGAATTGTTTGCACATTTAAAACTCCCAGAATAGTGAAATAGGGGAAAAAGGGTCAACTAGTCTTTAGCCTCATTAAAACATGCTCATGGTGAAAATTTATTTTACATATTTAAAATAGTACATTTAAAATTATTAGTTACATTACAGGTACAATGATGAACATTGTGACTCTCCATTTATATTGCACAACCTGACTTCATCCATATGGGGTTCTTTAAATAGTGCAAAATACTTTATACAGGAATGTGTTCGGAAGGGTCTTCGCAACCAAAATAAGGAAAAGAAATATTTTACAAATTACCATGAACATATATATTAAAGTGACAGGGGAGGGGAGAAATTAAAAAAAAAAAAGTTACAATCTGTACAGAGGAATTGCCACAGACAACCAAAAAGTTCCCTCTCTCCTGGGAGAAGCAGCAGGCCTCTGACCTATACAGGTCTGGCGTTTGTGCTAAGGTCATTTTTTGGCGTCAATCAAAAAAAAATATATATATATATTTATGTATCAGTAACTTAATACAATATAAATAAAGTCCAGTCCAGTGAATCCTGTGGTAGGTCAAATGGAGCAACAGAAGGCATGCCTTTTGTCATCTAGGGTTTCAGTAGGGTTCTTTTCTTAATGGGGGAGGGGAGGAAAAAAATGAACAGAAAATTATAAATGAAAAGGGAAAAAAAAACAAAAAAAAAACCCAAACCCACAGCCACTACTGTCAACAGCATCAAAAGAGCCCGGAACAATCCAGCCTGGATGCCCCATGCTGCGTGTGGTTCCAGCACTCAAACATTGGTTCCGGTGGTACTGTCGAGAAAAAGCAGCAGGAATTCCCTAGCGTGTGTTTGCATTTTTTTTGTGTTCTTTGTTTGGTTTTGATTTTTTTTTAATCCACACACTCCTCTCCCGGGGAAGCCAACGAGGCACTTACTTGATGCTTCCGTCACTATTTTCTGCTGCCGCTGTGGCTTTGGTGAGGGGCGCCAGGACGCTGCCCGGGACCCAGCCCTCGGCCGCGGGGGACCGGTCGCTGGCAGGCTGGTACACCAGGCACATGTTCTGCTGGTTGACGGCGAGGACCTGGACCACCTCACCTTGGCTCACACAGATTTCGTTCTCCTTCAGTGCATAGTAATCTTTGATCACGGCCATGGATGAGGTCCCGTTGCAGCCTCCCAGGTCGCCCTGCTAGGACACAAGGGCGAGAGGGGCACGGACAACAAGAAGGCTGGTTCGCACGGCTGGCTCCACAGCCCTGCAGGGTTAGAGGCCAAACCACCCACTGGCAGGGTGAATACCAGGCAGAAGATTATCCTGAGCCATAAAGCTATATCTAGAGACAAGCTTCGAAATTCTATTTTTTACAAGGTTGCGTATGGTAGACAAGTAGGTATAAACCCTTTCCTCTGGAAGCCTCCGGAGCCTGCAACCTTCCCCAGCATCCTCTAATGTGAGCAAGAGTGTGGCAGAGGCACAGGGGTACAGAGCACCTGGGCAGAGGGATGTTGGGGCAAAGGTCAGGTCCGGGGCACAGAGAGACCCTTTGAAACATTTTTTTCTTCCTTTCAAAAAAGCATCGGTCTTCTGCTACATTCTGATCTTCTTTGAGCCGGGAGTAACAATGAGATGTTTGCCCCGTTCAATGGCAAGACCATGACCTACCCTGACCCAACTCCAGTGGGAACAAAACTCCTCTGGTCTTGCCCGTATTCATTAATACAAGAGGGCCTGCCTCTGTGGCCTTTTCACAGGACTACCGCAGGAAAGCTGCTTGCACACCTGTACCTCCCCGCCAGGGAGGCCTGGCTACCTCCCAGAGCGTGATCAGAGCCAGGAAATCTTCCGTAAGTTTGACAAAAGGCCAATATGACTTCAACGAATTCACGAGGGTTTTTTATCATAGAAAATCATTTCCAGGTAATGTGATGAAATAGGTCAAGGACAGTTATTCTAATACAGAATTGACCTCAGACATTAATAGCTGATTAAAAAAAAAAACTTAGTTCATTTATTAATAGTGAATGTTAAAAATCAAGATCATCTAATCATTTGGATAAAACAAATAAAACTGTAAGATCAGAACACGTGAATAAAAAAGTGTAGATACTCCTATTCACAGATTCATTAAGTTCTAGAGGCAACCGGGGCCTCATGAGATTAAAGAGGTTGTTAAGGTCCTGGAACAAGTGAGTTGCAGAATTTGGAATGGGAACCAGATTGCCTGGATTCCTAATCTAGCACTTTTCCCACTTATTCTTCTCACACCTGCCGCTCTGTAGGGTCAAAACGGCTGTGTAGACTGGGTCTACAGTTCATTCTATGCTGCTCCCGTGGTGATGTCTGAATCGTGGGTTACCTGTGATAAACGTCTAATCCAAGGCTGCTTTCCCATTCACCCACAGAGGTGCAGTCTCCCCTCGCTGCATCAGCCAGTAGATGGTGAAGGACTGTGCCGCAGCTCACCGTGAGAAAGGGCCATCTCTTTAAGATGTCAGACACTAGAGTTGTGACTTAGGTGACCCAAACCACAGCTACTCTACTTGGTGTAAGTCATAACTGCTGCTCCGATATTACCTTATATCTGCAGTTTTCTGCAGACAACAACAGCCTTTTAACCCAGAGTGCCTGAGCAGAGGGAACTGGTCTAACTCCACTTGCAGGGGAAGAAAGAGAAATGATTGAGACGAGGCTGTATTTAGTGGGTTGTTTCTGGTCAAAGGAACAGCATGAAAAAGAAGCTACTTCCTACAGTGAGCCTGGAGGTGGCCCCTCAGAGTGGTGAGGGTGGGGGTAGCGGGCTGTCACTTACCTTGCTGGCCTCAAACTTGTCCCCAGGCTGGTGGTAGTCAAACCCTGGACTGCCATTGGAGGTAGATATCTTCAGGGGTGGCAGTGGTGGGTTATAGCTGGAGCCCTTTGGAGGCTTCTCAGAGCCTGCGGGGCCAGAGGAGTAGGGCCTGGGGCTGGCTTGGGGAACCCTGGACGGCTGGGACCTCATCACGGCTGTGCTCCTTTCTTTCCGCTGATACTCAATGGGTGACTGCAGGGCTGTGGGGTAAGAGCGGACGGTTACTCTAAGCCCCGGGGAATCCCACAAGGATTTGGAAGCTTATTATAATGGGCTTTGTGCCAGGCATTGTGGTGATACACGAGGAAGACACTACCCTTGTTTTTAAGGAACGTACGATCTACCGTGAGAATTCAGAAAGCTACCTTAATGAGGAAAACGCAAACACGAAGCGATACCCTCTATGAGGTACCTGGTGTTGTGCAAAAGGAGGGAGAGAAGGCTTTGTGTGTGTGTGTGCGTGCGCACGTGCGTGTATGTACCCGGGGTGGTGGTGGTAACACTTCAGACTCTGCAGGAGGTAGGCAGTGTGCAGTGTGTCTGGGCAACAGGACGCAGTCAGATTACCTGCAGCAGCAGAAGCCATGCGCCTCCGTGGAGGAAGAGGAGATGAGACAGGTAAGGGAGATTATTGGTGCCATGGTTGAAGGATCTACAAAGCCAGCCTAATGGGTTTGGGTGTCATTTTGAAGATCACAAAGAGTGACTGGACTAAATGACCTTGAACATTTTAAGTTCTTTCACCAGAGCCACATTCAAAGAACATTAACTTCGTGGCAGTTGGGAGGAGGGACTAGAGAGGCTGATTCAGAAACTGTGAGATAGTGACCAGCAAGGGGCCCACGCAGAGCAGAGCCGGGGAGACTGTAGAATGGCTACAGGGTGGCAGGCGTTGCGGAGGGAGACTCGACGGCCACAGCCCCGATGGGAGGGGGAGGCAAGGGCTGAGGGTCACTCCAATTTGGAGACTGGGAGAATGGTAGTTAGTAGAAGTCCAGAGATAGAGGAAAGTGTGAGCTTTGGTTTACAGAGTTTAAGATAAGAAAGTTCCAAGGCCTGGCCCGAGTTCTCAGGCTGGTTTAGCCAAGGCAAAGCCATTCAGGGCAATAATGACTTCAAGGGCTGGGCCACTTTTGTCATTCTTATCAAGATTCTCTGTAACAAATATTTGAGTGGGTTAACAGCTGGGGCCTAGAGAACTTTCATGGACAGGGATATTTCTAGAGTGATAAGTATGTATTTCAGTAGGACTCAACACAGGGTCACACTTCTTCACCTTTGAGGTCTCAGGAGGGTAATATTGGCCCTGAGATGCCTGCACATGTCTCTGAGTAAAAGATGCCTGGCCCTGCTCTATCATCACATCCTTGTCCCTCAAGTGTGTCAAAGTATAAAACAGGCTCCGGCCAGAGCTCAGCCTTTCTCCCTGGAGGGTAGTCTGTAGGCATTAAATATTTAAGTATGGATAATCTAGCTCAGGAATATCTCCATAATTCACTATAACTAAGAGAAAGGTCCCTTGGAACCACGTAAAAGCCTGGATCACCAACTACACTCAAAGAAATGCAGTTCCAAGTTTTAAGTGGACAGCAGAGAGTTTTGAAGCAGGCCTCATCACGCTGACCGTATGGATCAGACCCATCACATGGAATTGGAGTATGACCTGATTATATGCAATAACTGTGCTGAAGCGTTTCAGAATATTACGGCTTTCTAAATGAGCTACACAGAGGGCCTTCGTCCTTCTGCCGGCCTCAGTCTGCACTACTCAGGTCTTAGGAAGCTGTGCATCTCAAGCCTGATCCTGTTTCTTTCTTTGCTTTGTTTGCTAGGGAGCTCATAGATAAACGTGCGCCCTACCACCAGCGACTATGCTGTAGTTTATGGTTAAAAGCCCAATATTAAGTTATATAGTTCTGGGTTCAAGTCTTTGTTTCATCACTTACTGTTTTTGTGACCTTGGACAAGTTTGTTAATCTCCCTGACTCCTTTTCCTCACCTGAAAAATCCAGGATGAGAGGACTTACCTTTCCCTGTTGACAAGAGGATTAAATGTGATAATACATGTGCTCACATGCTTAGCACTGTGCTGGGCCCAGAGAAAGGACTCCATGTGTGTGCACCATTGTTATTTCAATTATTTCTGGTTTTGATTTTTTCTTATTTGTCTTTTGTACTGAATCGATAAACTTAAAAATCTCATCCCAGCTTAGAACTTCTGATAGAAGTTCTTAACTACTAGAATGCAATTTAATGAAGACATAGACATGGCCAACATGCACATGAGAAAATGCTCTGCATCACTTGCCATCAGGGAAATACAAATCAAAACCACAATGAGATACCACCTCACACCAGTGAGAATGGGGAAAATTAACAAGGCAGGAAACAACAAATGTTGGAGAGGATGCGGAGAAAAGGGAACCCTCTTACACTGTTGGTGGGAATGTGAACTGGTGCAGCCACTCTGGAAAACTGTGTGGAGGTTCCTCAAAGAATTAAAAATAGACCTGCCCTACGACCCAGCAATTGCACTGTTAGGGATTTACCCCGAAGATTCAGATGCAATGAAACGCCGGGGCACCTGCACCCCGATGTTTCTAGCAGCCATGTCCACAATAGCCAAACTGTGGAAGGAGCCTCGGTGCCCATCGAAAGATGAATGGATAAAGAAGATGTGGTTTATGTATACAATGGAATATTACTCAGCCATTAGAAACAACAAATACCCACCATTTGCTTCAACGTGGATGGAACTGGAGGGTATTATGCTGAGTGAAGTAAGTCAATCGGAGAAGGACAAACAGTGTATGTTCTCACTTATTTGGGGAATATGAATAATAGTGAAGGGGAATATAAGGGAAGGGAGAAGAAATGTGTGGGAGATATCAGAAAGGGACACAGAACATAAAGACTTCTAACTCTGGGAAATGAACTAGGGGTGGTGGAAGGGGAGGAGGGCGGGGGGTGGGGGTGAATGGGTGACGGGCACGGAGGGGGACACTTGACGGGAGGAGCACTGGGTGTTATTCTGTATGTTGGTAAATTGAACACCAATAAAAATTAATTTATAAAAAAAAAAAAAAAAAAAAAAAAAAAAAAAAAAAAGAACTTCTGATAGAAGTTCTTAACTACTAGAATGCAATTTAATGAATATATTTTATATATGTGTACTTTTTGTATAAAATAATTTTATCAACATAGGTGTTGATTGAAAGTTCTACATTCAGAACCTGTAAACCATATACAACTTCTGCTGCTATCCCCTCAGGGCTGGGCTGGTGTTTAATTTTAGATTTTTTAGAAGGAGAAAGAACCCTAGAGATCACAAAGTTTTTTTCACCAAACTGTTCTACAGCTGGGGGGCCCCGGGGGCATGACCCTCAAATACTCTGACACAGTGTGAGATTGCTTTGAAGTTTCATGTTTATCTTGCTATATAATTTCTTTTCATTTGTTTTAAAGTAAATATGATGAGTGAAATCCCTTACCATGCAGTTAGCTGATATTGTCTACAGGGAGCTGTGCCATGTTTTCCTGCTTCCAGTACTGCTGGCAGGCACACCAGAGCACGTGCCAATGTGGGCAGAGCAGATCATCCCTCCTTTTCCCCAAAACAAGCCAACAGAGGCCCAGAGAAATGTTATGATTTGCTCACGGTCCTCAAGTGGTATGTCACATTTAATCTTTACCCACAGCATTCAGGTCCACGCTGGACAACCAACCAGTGCTGCCTGTGCTGTTCAAAAGAGTCCAGACTCTACTACTGGCAAGGGTGACACATCTGACAGTGGATCTGTGTCTGTGCTTTGGTGTGTGTCCGTATACAGGCATACATGCTGCTCAGTGTGTGTGTGCGTGTGTATGTGTACATATGAGTATATATGCTTGCTGAGTCTGTAGGTGTGTGTGTATGTGTACATACAGGCACATGTGCTTGCTGAGTCTGTGTGTGCATGCATGTGTGTGTACATATGGGCACGTGTGCTTGCTCAGTCCATGTGTGCATGTCTGTGTATGTGTACATACACGCACATGTGCTTGCTGAGTCTATCTGTACATGCATGTATGTGTACATGTGGGCATGCGTGCTTGCTCAGTCCACGTGTGCATGTCTGTGTATGTGTACATACACGCACATGTGCTTGCTAAATCTCTGTGTGCGTGCATATATATGGGCATATATGCTTGCTCAGTCCGTGTGTGTGTGTGTGTGTGTGTGTGTGCATACAGGCATGTGTGCTTGCTGAGTCTGTGTGTGCATGCATGTGTGCGTACATATGGGCATGCGTGCTTGCTCAGTCCGTGTGTGTGTGTGTGTGTGTGTGTGCATACGCACACACAGCCATACGTGCCTGCTAGGTCTCTGGGCTAACTTCATTTCTGGCTACATTTTGCCTTCAGCTTCCAGTTCTGTTTCAGCACAGAGACTTCTGAGTGCATCAACTTGAGAGATGAGCACTGGTTTAAAACCGTACACTTCCTGTCACATGGTAAGCTCAATGTGGAGACAACGCCAGCAGTGAAAAGAAAAAAAGAAATGCAAACAAGGTAGCAGTGCCCTATCACTTGGGCTCCCACTGCCAGGTAGGGGACTCCTGCAGGGTTCGCAGACAGCTACACTCTCTGCATAATCATGAGTTCTGGGCAGTTCACGGTATTACTGAAACTGAGAGCTTAGGAATCAGTCACCTCTCCTTTGAAAGGCTCAGGATGGCTAGCAAGGGGACTTATGTAGGCTCTCCCACTGATCTGTCAAACTCCCAGTTATCACCTGTGGAAACACTAGCCATTAGCCACCAAATGCGAAAACACAGGACCCTGATACTCAGCCCCTAGGACAAGGGGGATACGCCCCATTCAGATTTCTGCCGCAACTACTATTAGCTGTCAGTTTTGGCCGCAGGCGTATATGCTGTGTCTCGGCTCTAAGGGCTCTAAGAGAATAGCTCTTCTTTTGGAAAGATCGGGCTTCCTTATCATGTTCCATCTGCTCCACTGACCTATCCAGGTTCAGAAAAATCCTAAACAAAGTGTTTCTGAAAACTACAAACCTATCATCCATATAAAATGTCATCTGGGCCATGAAGTCACTGTAAGCCCAGACCCAAGGGAGCTCAGAGGTGTGGGGTCCCCTGAAAATGGCCCTATTAGAAGCCAGGCCTGTACCTACCATTTAAGAAGTCTCGCTGTGTTTCTAAGACTTGATTGATGTCCTGCACCCAGGCCTGCTGAATGTCCGCGTTGGCAGCTTGCAGAATGACCCTCTCAGAAGTCTCCCTGTTCATGAGTGCAAACTTGCAGGGGTCATTGTCCACGTTCTCCTCCAGGACCAAGTAATTCATCTGGAAGAAACCAAGTTGATTATTTTCATTTTTAAGTGGTTTAAAAAAAAACAACAACAACAACATGGTACAGTTCCTCAAAGTATTTACTTCAGGAGTCATTTCCAAAATTTTTTCCTGGATCCAATAGCTAACCATGCTGGTTTCTGACTTTGAGTGAATGGCCTGATCCTGGAGAACATGCAGGACCTGCAGGACCTGCACTCAGCCTGTCTCTTTCTCTCAAAATACTTGACCTTCGCACCCTCAGCTTCTTTGGCTGAAAGACCATCAAGGTTCTGAATCTGTACTCGCTCCAGATCTCTGTCTTAGGGAAGCAGCTCTCAGGATTGGCTCTTCCCTGCCCCTTGTCATCCCCGGCGGGAGCCTTACCTTGATGCTCCTTTTGAACATGTAACCCGGGGTGAGGGATCCCTTCCTTAGCAGTTCACTGAAGATGACAATTTGCTCAAAGAGGAACACGCGCCTCTCCTTGGTACGGGACTGCATGCCTGCGTCCAGCTCAATCACATAGAATGTGTCCTGTTGCAGCAGCTTCCCCTGGGCGGTCAGGGTGCCCTGATGGAAGCAAGTGCAAGGAAGTGGGGTGAAGGAGGTGAAAAACTGGGAGGGGTCCACAGCTCTCTGGGTCTACAAACCTGCCCCCGTTAACAGACCTGACACTAAAAGCCTCAGGGCTCTAGTTAGAGACTGAATTAGGATCCATCTCACTCAGGTAGGGCAGACACAGAGCCCTGGGGAGAGGGGGAGAAGGGAAAGAAGGCTATGAAACCACTAAGAAGCAGCCCTAAGAAAATGCCAGAAGGGTGGAAGGTAAAATGATTAGCTAAAAAGATGTTCAGATATTATCCTGCTCTTCTTATTTTTTATTAAAAGGAGAACAGAAAGTGGGTGACACCTGTAGCCTTTTTGTCCTCAGAGCTCTGAGAGATGTCTGCTTGGCTCCCTTGTGGCATGGGCCAAGGACCTGGGGTACTCTTATGGCCATGGACCTAGAACCAACCTGCGGCCAAGGGAAGTGATTTTGGCAGGATGACAAGTCATCTAATGAGTTGGGCCCCTGTCATTTCCTTCTATGATTTCAGGATGGAGTCTTAGTTAGAATTAGTTTAATTCTGAAGTCTTCATCTCCTGATACCGATCAACAGGTAAAGTTAGAGTAGCATGTACAGGTGCCCATGTTTTACAAGATATTTTTCGGGGTCCTGTGATCCTTCTTAAAATGCTTTGAGCTAGCAGGCCACTTGCCAGCTCACATAGGGGGAGTCTATGTGGTTTGCCGGTTTCTAGCCTGATTTTTAGACACATCTTCACGTCTTCAAAGGAAATTAGGTCCAACCCAGCAGGTCTTCACAGAAGCCATTGGAGAGCTTTGCTTTCTCTACTGTTTGCAGCAAGAACATGCTGACAGCTGATATCTGATAGCAGCCAGAGGGCCTCCTCTGAACCATACTCTCTCAGGTGATGACTTCTGCTGTTTAGTAAAAATGTGGGTCATTCTCTGCACATGATGCCTTATTCCAAACAGTACCTAGCACACGGGTCATTTTTCTTTCCCATTCCTGAGAAACACCTGCCTCATGGCTCCTTACTGTCAAGGTCAGCAGCCAAACAGGCTTATCTCTACCCTGGTCCAAAGTTAATATTAAGCTAGTGACCAGCTAGCCAGGAAAGCTCTAAAAGCTCTATTACTGTTACATAAGAGCCTGACCCATGAATTACAGCCCTGCTGATGCCAAAGGGAAAGCTAGAGAGAATTTAAGAGAGAGAATCTACGGGAGGAGGTGAGCTTCTTCCAGGCCCAAAGCCCAGGATTTTAGAAGGGACAGAGGGATGTTCATGGTCCTTCTTAACTGGCTGAAGGAACTCAAAGCAGATTCTCTGAGACTTGATGGAAAAAGGAGATGATGGTGCTTGACTGAAAAGAGAAGATAATTTTACAGTATGCGTGTGGCCTTCTGTGCACTCACGTGTGCATGCACAACACAATTCCTGTGGAGTCTAATGCTGATGTTGAATTCCTGTCAGTGCTCAGTGCCCCCAAAGACCCAGAGAAAGTCAAGCCAGACTCCTCCTCAGAAACAGGGGCACATCAAAGCATAAGAGCAATAGGGATTACATGGTTTGTTCAGAATAGCCTCGGAATAGACCTAGCATCATCCCAAGGGAGCAAGTGTAAAAACTTGATCCAGTGTGCCTAGAGAAAACCCATATAAGGACTCAGGGTATCTTTCTGCTGCAAACCCCTGCTTGCTCTAATGCCTCGGGTGGAGAACTGGGAATCTATGAAAAATAAACAGCAAAGAAAACCCTCCACATAGTTCCTGGTCACAGGAACAAAGCAATGGCAGACAGGGATACCAGGAAGAGCTGGGAAGGTGGGGAGGACAAGAGAACTGGGATCAAGAACATGATGAATCTAATTCAGTAACTCAAACCTGAATGTAGCATCTCCTAACTTTACTTATAGACCAGTCTGCCTTATTTCTATCCTATCCTATCCTATCCTATCCTATCCTATCCTATCCTATCCTATTCTAATTTAGCCAGGGGAAAAAAGCTATTATTTTCCTTATTATATCAACTTCCTTTTATCCCCCTTGTTATATCAGCTTCCAAGAACCCCTTTTCTCTAGAAAGGAATAATAAAATCTTAGGTTGTAGAATTACCAGGAAGCCGGATTAGAAGATCCACATCTTTCTCTAAGGGGTTCAACAATCATTAAATGCCAGTCAATAATTGTGTCAGTTCCAATTTTAAATTAATATTCAAAACAGATATTAGATATAGTTAGCATATGAGGTTTGGATATAAACTAAAGGCAGCCAATTATCAAGTTTAAACTAGGAAAGTCAACTTTTTCTTCAAAGATTCACTGTTATGGGTTGAATTGCCCCCCCCCCATTCATATGTTGAAGTCCAAGCCACCAGTATCTCAGAATGTGACCATATTGGGAGATAGGATCTTTTCAGGGGGAATCAAGTTACAGGGAGGTCATTAGGGTGAGATCTACTAGAACAGGACTGGTGTCCTTATAAAAAGGGGAAATTTGCATACAGAAAAATGTACAGAGGGAAGACAACGTGAAGACACAGGAAGAATGTCGTGTGAACATGAAGACGGCCATCTACAGGCCAAGGAGACAGGCCTGCACAGATCTGTCCCTCACAGCCCTCAGGAGAAACCATCACTGCCTATATCTTGATCTCAGATTCCTAGACTCCAGAAAAGTGAGATTTTAAATTCTGTTGTTTAAGCCACCCAGTCTGTGGGAATTTGTTATGGTAGCCCTAGCAAACTAGTTATTCACTGAAGCCAAAATTCTGGGGACATCTAGCTGTTTCTCCTAAGATTGACTCTCTTCTTCAAAGAACAGAAATGTGTACATGATGTTTTAAAGCTTTAAATGTTCATTTAACTAACGAGCCAGCCATTATGTAGACCTATTTACTAGAACCACTCTCTCTCTCTCCAAAAAAAAAAAAAAAAGTTCCATTTTCCCTCTGTTGCTACTTCCATCCCATAGTCCCGCTCTCCCTCATAGTCCTTGCACTCATTTCTCAAGCAAGAAAGCAAAGGAAAGAGGTCACCAGCAAGTCTACAGTTACAAGGAATTTGGGGTCTTTCTAACTCCCTCTAACTGTGACTCCAGCTTGGTGGGCTGCTCTGTAGCTTCCTCTGACTGCCCTATCACTGGATATGCTAAATAGATCAATCTCTGGGCCCATGAGCCAGAGGGGTCTGGCGTGAAGGCACAGATGGTGAGTAGAGGCGGCGGAGGAGGCGGGCACGGGGCTTCAAAGGGAAGCGGCCTCAGAGCCCGGGCTCCTGCTGTCCAGAAGAGAGAAGGCTCAGAGCATTCTTAAGGGCTCACCTCAAAGCCCTGCAGGCGTCCCAGATTCATCATGTCATTGCAGCGTTTTGGAACAAGGCACATTAACTCCACTGCTTTCTGTGGGAAAGAACAATAGTAGGTCAGGACGGGGATGAGCACTCAGGCAGGAAGCTTAGGGCAATTCCGTGCAGGAAGACAGGGACCTCCCGGGGGCTCCCTGATTCCAGGCAAGGACACTGGTCCCTGCAGTCCACTCCCAGAGCAGTTTGGGCTTTTCTGTTCTAGTTGGGGTGTTGGTCAACAGTGCAGGGCTCCATGTGAATCAGGGACCCCACGTGGCGGAGAACGCTACCCAGACAGCCTTTTCCTCCTTCCCACTTTTATTTAGCGATTCTCTTTCCTTCCCATATTTTCTTTCTTCCCTCTGTTGCTTCTCGGCTGCCTAAGCAACAGCCCAGCCTGGCTTGTGAAACACTAGAGGTTTTAACCTAAAATGACCTACAGAATGGTCTGTAACCTCTCTGGCTTAAAATAATCCCCATGGTGACATTGTTTCAAAGGACTTCACTTAGGGAGTAATCCTCGGGGGTAGGGGAGGGAGTGAAAACAGGATATGTTATGTGTTGAACTCAAATAGTACCTGGGCTCATGGATGAAACTGCACACGGGAACCTGAATCTCTGAAGGATGTCAGAGGACTCAAATATCCCCCTTTCCCACCATAAGTTCCTGGAGCCATGTGGAGAACATGAGAGGAGCGAAACTCTGGTGTTTCCCAGGACAGAATTCTCAGGTTCGAGAAAAACACTCAGTGTGTTCATTACTACTGGCCGTTCCCCATCCTGTGGAGCTGCTCTCTGCAAGGGGCTCTGAGAAGACTCCACCCAGACCCCCGGCCCTCCGGAGCCAGTTCTTCCGCCTTAGAGACGACATCCAACACCATCGCCAAGGACGGCCAGCGCTTCGAGAAGACTCACCTCGATATCCGAACACTCCAAGCCAGCCTTCTCACTGTATCTCAGGAAGTCCTAGCAAGTGGGAGAAGTGGGGAAGGGTGCAGGAGGGTGACATCAGTTAGGCCAACAGAGCGCCATAAAAAACCCACCATCGTAAAACCTACAATGACACCCAGACAACTTTCCTCCCCAACAGACATGGCAGTGTGTCGCAGAAGCGGAGATATGACGTTATGAGTCACATTGGAAACAACAACAGGGAGAAAACCCCCAGATACTCAAAGAGGAAAAGCTATGGGGAAAGGGAGGGAGAGGGGGGAGAGGGGAAGTCATGTCCAGAAAGCCTGGGAGAAAGGAGAGCTCAGTCTCTCTCTTCCATGTACCTCACATTCTGTAAGACAAACCAAATCAAACCGTTCAAAAAGTAAAATATGATCAAATTTTAGGTACTCCTCATCTAAGCTTTCCAGGGCCTTGCCTTTGCTTTTTTTTCTCCTTGTGGTCGCTCTGATTTTATGTTCTTCCTATTTTTTATCTTTTAAAGATCCCAAGTGAGTGATGGTGACAAAGGAAGAAAGCGACTTGAAAGAAAGAAAGTGAACTAACCGTCAACCTTGAAGACAGGAATGACACGCGTGCAATTTGTTTGGAGGCAGAGCTGACCCAAGTAGAGGACAGGCAAGATAAGAGCCCGCAGGCGGCACCCCGCGCCCCTGGCCTAGTTCATGGGGAAAGTGTGGTGGGGACAGAGCCTCGCGCCGACCTGCTCGCCAACTCAGAGCCCAGGAAGAGCCTTCTCCAGCCCTGCCTCAGGCTTGCTGCTCTCTTACCTTGAGGAGCAACTGATATTTTGTGATTCTCTGAATGGGCTTGATAAGGAAGTCGCTAAGGGTCAGCCTTTGATTTATCTCCTGTTTCACCTCCTGGAACACAAGGGAGCGACGTTAGAGGAAAAAGGAGCCAAAGAACTGGAGTCCTGGGCATTAGGGTTCAAGGTGAGAAGGACACACCTTCCCGTTTGCCATAAAGTTCTAGAATCCTCAAACAACGTGAGGGGCAGAGCTGCCCACACAGCCACTCGTGTGTTTCGGACAACACACAGCACACCTCGCGGCCACCTTCTGCACCGCACGTACCTCCCGCCTGTGTCCTCGCCCCAGCCCTGGGGACGAGGTGGAAGGGGAAGGGGTGTCTGTGGTCTCTGGTGCTCCAGGGCCGCGTCAGAGGGGCCTCTCCCAGGGCCCGGGCCCAACGGGCTGGGCCCTCAACACAGATCTGCCCACGGTCGGCCCAGGGCTCTGCCAGGGGGCGGCCTGGCCTCTCCTCGAGCAAAGCGAGCACCTTCCTGGAAGGAGCCTGAGAGAAGCCCTGGGGAGGGGAGCGGAGACCTACAGGTGCCTTGGAGCAGTCTCGGGGGACAGAGCCCTGGAGAGTGGGTCACGGTCCTTCTGCCGACGGGCCTCCGCCAGTGGGCCACCTGGCCGCCTGGGCCTCCGAGCCCGGCCCTGGCCCCGCCGAGGCAGCCCCGGCCTGAAGGTCCCAGAGCCATGGGGGCACCTGCCCACCCTTCCTCCCCAACCCTGGCCCGGCCCGGCGCTTACGTCGAAGTAGGCGTCGTACTCGGCCACGATGTACTCGGAGCGCGGCTTGTTCTGGCAGTACCACACGTAGACGTGCAGCTTGCGCTCCTGCCGAGGCAGAGGGTAGGTGCTCAGGCCGGCGGGGAGGAAGGCAGGTGGGGGGAGAGGGGGAAGGGGGGAGCGCGAGCGCCCAGCTGGGACGGCAGACAGACGGAGTAGGAGGCTCTGCGCCTCCGCGCCGGGCAGCCCGATGTGGGGCTCGACCCCAGGGCCCCGGGATCAGCGCGTGACCGGGGGCAGCCGCTCCACCACGAGCCGCCTAGGCCCAGGGAGGACAAAGGCCGGTCCCAGAGCCCGGCGGCCGGGCCCAGAGCTGCGGGTGCACTCACGTGTTTAATGAAGAGCTGGGCCAGTCTGTCCTGCTCCTGGATACATTTTTCCAGTTCAGCCAGGAAAAAGCTAAAAGGAGGAAGGGGGTGTAAGGGGGGGGGAAGCCACATCCTTCAGAACTGTAGTATTGCTCCGCGAGAAGATCAGTGAGGCCAGCCTCTCCCCCGACCCGACCCGACCCGACCCCGAAGGTCAGGTGTAGGGGAGGACGGAGGGTCCCGGGGTTCTCAGAACCGCGGAGCACTTACTCCTTGTGCCAGTCGTAAATCTGGTGGATATTTCCAAACACGATTTTATCCTTCCCTCGCATGTCCTCGGGGACACCCTTTTCTTCTATTCTCTTCATGAAGCCCTACAGAGCAGAGGCAGCGGTCAGTGGGACATCTTCACAAGAAAGCTATCCTGCCAGCCCCATAGGGCAGCCCCATGGGCGGGCCCACCCCTCAGGGGGCCGAGGGCCAGCTCCTCTGTGCTTTCTCAGGGCTCGGCCAGGACTTTACCCCATGCGGGGGGACACACGCAGCTCTGATGAAGTTCTAGGTCTCTTTCTTGGTCTCCCCAGCCCCCTAAAGAGAAAGTCTTTTTCATCCAACCATCTAAATGCCCCTAAGGTAAACCCTCAAGGAGAGGGAGCATGTTTTTTTTTTTTAAGATTTTATTTATTTATTCATGAGAGACACAAAGAGAGAGGCAGAGACACAGGCAGAGGGAGAAGCAGGCTCCATGCAGGGAGCCCAACGTGGGACTCAATTCGAGGACTCTGGGATCATCCCCTGGGCTGAAGGCAGATGCTCAAGCTGAGCCACCCAGGCGTCCCAAGAGCACGATTTTATTTACTACCAAGTTGACTCTTAACTGTGGATTTGTCAGTCTTGTCTTATGGGTGGATTTTTCTTTGTCTATCCTCTTGGTAGCCATAACCCTCTCCTTAATCTTTAGTTTCATTTCTGCAAATACCCAGAGAGAGCAAAATACATGTAACTCTCAAGTTAAAAACACCTTGGCTCAGGTAGGGTCCAACCTGCCCCTGGCTGGGTGACCGCAGACCCACCTTGTGCCACATACTCACCTCCACCACAATCCCCAGATCCTTGACGTAGTCTTTTTCTGTCTGCACCAGCTCATTCAGGACAAACCTGGGCAGGAGAATAAGAACAATGAGGGGTCCTCTTCTTTGTGAAGCAAGACATCTTCACACTTAGGTTGACAGGAACGTTACTTTGGCACCTTTGAGACAAGATAAGCCCAAACCCCATATCCGGAACCCTGCAGGAAGGCGCTTTCTGGGGTTCTCTCTGTGAGAGGGCCCCACGCCTACAGGCGGTTTCCCAGGTGGCACACAGCAGCCGGCGGTGGGGGCGGGGGGTGACCACGATGCTCACCATTCAGTCTTTTTCTTTCTGTTCTTAATGATCCTTCCTCCCTCATCTATAACTGAACAGCCGTATCGATACGAGGCAGGAGGAGTCACAGGCACTTTGACAAAAGTGACTTATGAATGCTTTGAGGCCAAGGGCTCACCACGAGACTTCTCTTCCTTCATTTCAACTCCATTCTGTGCTTATCAAGAGGAGGAGGACATTTGCTTGATAACCAACCTTTGAGGCTTTAGAGACACCAACATCAAGTGAGGTTTCTGAGATACAGAAGCTGCCATTATTCAGACAGGTGGCCCTGGTACCTGGCCTGCAACCCCCCCAGTCAGGGACAGGAGGTCTGACTGCAGGCACCACATAATCACAACCTTCAATGCAGCAGCCTCCCCTTCTGCCCAGCAGACGTGGGGTTTAACCACTACAAGGACCCTTGCTTTCTTGGTTTCTTTCTTGTTCATGATTTCCTCTTCTCAGAGTATTTGCTCCGTGCCAGTGCTTCATCTGGGGTTTCTCATGCTTCGATCATGTGGGTAGTGTAAGCCCTGCTTTATATAGAGGAGAATACTGAGGCCACGTTGCCCAGGATGACAAAGCCCCCAGCAGAGTTGGGATCTGAACCTATTCCACCACAGCCCAAAGACTCTGCTCTTTCACTGTTGCCCGCTGCCTGGCAAGCTACTCAGACCAGCTCCATGGAGTCCCTGAGACTCCACACCCAAGCACTTCTCTTTCTTTCTGTCCAAAGAGTAAAGATCTGGACAGAAAACACTCAGGGTGGTGCACCGGGGCAGGCTGGGTGCTGTGCGGCTTTCCTGGAGTCTGACTCGGACTAGCTAAGTGCGAAGAGAGTTTTGCCTGGAGCCACCCAAATGCGTTTTGGGCCCAAGTGGCAGAAGGGGTACAAGCACTGGGATGCCCAAAGGGGACCCCAGCATAAACATTGTGACTGTTCTGAACCCAGGAAGCAATTCATCTGAAATTCCTGATCTACATAGCGCAGAGAACCAACAGATCCCCGGGTCTGGGCCTCAGGGTGATGGGGAGAAAGAAAAGGAACACACGCTTCTTTATCGGCATGGCCAGTGCTTCCAACCAGTTTCCTCCCTCTAATATGCACAATCCACAATCATGTGTTATAGGCCACAGGAAGGAACTGGCAAGGCCAAATAAAAGCATTTAAATATATCTTTAGCATGGCCCGTGCTACTGCTTAGAAGAAAGTGGTAAAACCCCACAGGAAAGTGGGAATGGGAATTTGGGGCTGGGAGGGCCCTCTGGAGATGAAGTCCAGCTCTCTGTCTCCAGGTGATATTTTTATCCTATGCTATCTGCTGACAGAGTGAGGGCTGTCTTGGGCTTTCCAGCCTTTGGGGAAGGGGAGTGATTAGACTAGGTGCTGCTGGTGGGCCTGGCACCACTTCCCTTGGAGCCCCAATGAAATACTTGGGGAGATAATGACACATTAATAGACATTTTGAAAAGGTCCATAAAAGATTTAAGTTACATGCAGCACAAGACAGTACATGATTAATTGCCAAATAAACTGAACTGATAATAAAGCATTTAAAAAAATGTTTAAGTCTTCATTAGTCAAAGTTATTTACAATGTAAATGTTATTCTTTGGTCCAACTAAATTTCTTCCAACTACAGGTCAGACCTATTTCTAATTTCTGTGTTAACACGATGGTGGGGAATGGCTGGGATCTTGTACAGAAAATCCTTCAGAAGTTTTGCACTGGCTGTTCCCTCAGCCAAGAGCACTTTCCCTCCATGACTAATGGCTAATTCCCTACCCCCTTCTAGTCTTTGTGCAAATGTCAGAACCATTGAAAACTGCAAATGGCCTCAACCATACTCCAAATCTCCCTTATTATTTTTTCTTTTTCCATCTTCTAACATGTTAAATAATTTATTTTTATTTTGTTTATTATATAATTTCTCCCTTTATATAGTGTACACTTGCCATGAGAACAAGGACTTTTCTTTTGTTGTTATTGCCTTACAGAAACATCCCATACTTTGGTGCATGACAGGTGTCCAACACCTATTGTTCAATGAATGAGTGGCTAAACTTGAAGACAATCAAGTCCATTCTCAGCTTTTTTCCCTTCCTAGACAAATAACTATTTGTTTTCATCTTTTCTCCACGGAGCTCCCATTTAACCCTTTGAGGCTTGGACCGGAGTCTCCATTCTCTGTGTCTTGCCCTCCCCACCCCCGACCCCCCAACCACCACTCCCACTCCCTGGCCTCTAGCCTCACACAGAGTCCACAATCAGACATGTACACATCCTCTCTTTCATCACGGCCATAAGTTACAGCAAGAGTGATGAGACATTGTAATCGCTGGATTTTCAGGATAGCTCAGGATGTGGAGAGCTGTGAGTCAGGCAAGAGAGTAATAAGAGGGAGAAGAAATGGGTAAAGAGAGTAAAAGAGACCACAAAATTTTGCCTGTTGAAGCAAAATCAGACAATATCCCATCTGGAAGCAGGACAATGGCTTACATGACTGCTTATGGGCCCGTTCAACCAAAGTGACAAGAGTAGTGACCGGCTTTGCCAAGGACCACCTGCTACCGTGAAGGTCTCCTCTGTGATCTGCTACCGTGAAGGTCTCCTCTGTGATCTGAGTTTTACTTTGGCTTGGCAGAGGACTGGAACATCGGCTCCAACTCTGCATTTATGTAAAAACAACCCTGAGAAGCTAAAGAGAACCAGCTTTGTACAAGTCCTAGAAAATTTCCTTGTAGGGATGGTATTTTTCCACCTCTATTCCATTTTTGGGGTTCCTCCGAGTACCCATAAAGTTGGAGGGTAAATTTGGAACTGAAGAGACACTTGCCCAGCTCCACCATGAGGTGACAGCCCTGCTCTGAGGCCAGGCCCTGGCTATGACGTTTCTACTTTTGTTTCCTAGGAAAGAAAGTCATTAATGGTCACTTTGCCTGCTTCCAGGCAACAGAAGGACCTGGCCTCACTCAGTTTTGCTAATCCTCATGTCTGTGACCAGGCTAAAGGAATGAGTCTGAGGGAGAAGGACGGACTAATTAGCAAAGGGACCAGTTCTCTGGGCTTTACGATCTCTCACACACCAGGCCACGTCCAAGACTCATCAAGCTCTGCTCCCAACATGGAGTCAAATTCAAGATAAGAAAACTGAAGTTTTGGAGGAATTGTGGTTTTGCCTTGCTGGTATCTGATATCTTCTTAATCATCTCAAATGACAGAAGACAGACTCGACATCAGAGTGGATAACTCAACCCTTGCATAAAATACGGGCTTTCGTGACATGGACTGCAATGTGAATTGTATTTATCCCCAACTATATTTAAAAAAGTGAAGAGGTTCTCTTGGAGCAAAGCCCATAAATGGGTACTAAATGAAACCGTTAGAGGAACAGAGCTAGGCCCTGGCCAGCTGGCACAACAGATGCTTTTCCTATCTAGGGCTTCTCCACGTTTTGAGAAATGGATCCTCAGGTGAAACTCTACCAGACTTTCTACCGCGGATTCTCTAATATGGGACCATAGGAAAAGTCCCATAGTTCCCTGCATTTTGTTGTTTTCCTTTTATCAGAATGCTTTAAGTTTCTCACAGCCCTTGGTGATACGCACACTTTATCTGTAACAGCTGCTATCTCCCTGACGATGCTTCAGCCTAAAATTCTTAAAGTCAGTGCCACTGCAGTGCTTTGTTTATCCCAATGTTACCCTGTACAGATGTAGGTCACCTTTACTTAGAATGAATGGTATCAGTGGAAATACAGTGAGGGGAACCCCTCTGCCCAAACTTCCTCCAACCTTAGCCCACTGTCCAGCACACACATGCGCACTAGGGTAGAATCTGGGAAAAGTCACTTACATCCGGCCTCTCAGGGCCTTGGCTTTCTGTTCTTCTTCCAAGTTTCTAGGAGGTGTGGGTGGGGTCATCCCCTCATTCAGGCAGCCTACAGGGTCTTTCAAGCTTCCCCGGTATGAACCTCCTTCTAGAGTCTGAAAAGAGAAGAAAAATAGCCTCAGGGAAGTGTATATTGAAAAATCATCTGGAGGCCCTTGTGTCCCCTCCAATCTAGCAGCAGCCAGCTTGGTAGACCAGCTGCCAAGGCTGTTCTCACTGGACATCAGTGAAGTGCCAGGAGGCCGGGTATTCCTCTCTCCCTGCAACAGACTGCCCAGAGCGGCCGCCTTCTCCGGCAATCAGGATGAACTTGGCGTCGTGTGCTGCCAATTTCCCAACATAATGAAAATCATCAAAGTGACTTATCTCTGGGTAAGGGCTGCAGAGGCTAAGCTAATCATTGCAATTCTACACTAATGAAGCAGAAAAGAAAATCAGTCGTGGGGCCATCAAATCCCAACTGATAAGGGGAGGGTAGTGACAGGAGAGCTAGTTGGGTAAACTCACGTTTGTTAAATTGGCTACAATTTTTTCCCCAAGAGGCTGATGACACGTAGACAGGAAGAGGTCAGCAGATTCAGCCTTTCCCAAAAATATCTTTGCTAAGGTTATTTACCAAGGGTTTTCTTTCAATCATGAATCTCTTTAATTTCTTTTAATTAAGGTGCTGCAGGATTAAGAAACAAGGTAAAAGTAAAGATACAAGACTCTAGAAAGAGTTAAAGGCAAAGGATTCTAACCCCAGATCTGTTAGTCACTGGATGATCTTAAGTGAGACAGCTGCAATTATTCCCTGCGTGCTTCAGGGTTTTGTTTTGTTTTCAGTTTTCAAATGAGATCTCTCCTTCCTACAGATTTCTAAGGAACAGACAGAGACAATAAATGTATAATCCGTTGGCAAATTAAAAATATCCTACAATGATGAGCTCCCCCCTGCCTCAGAGCTTTTAACAAGAAGGATACCCGAAAATGAGGCCAATCTTAGCATTTTTACAGGTGTCCACAAAGTAAGATCACACAGTGATACTTAGCATTTCATTATGGAACTTGGCAGAAGCGATGTGGATAAACAGTAAGCCTGGAGATCAAGGTCAAGGTGAGCAATTCTAAGACAAACATGGGAGTCTAATCCAAACTACCCACACAAGAGGCCTCTTTACAACAGTCTCTGCAGCTCAAAGGAAAGGCTTCACTTTGGAAGTCTTTGAAAACATCAGCCCTAAGGGTAAAAGTCATAAAGATTAAAAAGTCTCCAAAAAGGCGGGAGAAACAAAAGGCTTCATTCAGCGTGGTGTTAACCTGCACTGGGAGTATCTGTCTAAATTCTCATAGCTGCTATAGTTCAAGACAGGACGAACAAAAGCAGGAAACGTCCAGGGGAATGAAACAAAAAGCAAATGAGGTGCCCAATGGGTCATTCATTACATGAGAACAGGTGGTAGATATTAAGACCTAAAGCAGACGGGCGCCTGGGTGTCTTGGTTAAGTGTTCGATTCTTGATTTTTGGCTTGGGTCATGATCTCGGGGTCTTGAGATCACGTCCCACGTTGGGCTCCACGCTCAGTGGGGGAGTCTGCTTGAGAGTCTCTCTCTCTGCCCCTCCCCCCTTTCCCTTTTGCGCTCTAAAATAAATGAATATATCTTAAAAAAAAAAAACTCAAGTAAAGCTGAAAAATTTAAAGCTGAGAAGAGAGGTCAACTTCCTTCCCCCCCACCAACCCCCCAAATCAACAAAATGTACTGAGGGCCAAGCATGACTTGTTACCAACACCAGAAACTAGAATTAAGAAGATAGTGTCTTCAACTTTGACAGAATTTCTTTTAACTTGACATGAAGTCAGGACAAGTAATCCACCGTGGAAGTTGTTATCCTGAGAAGCAGCATAGGCTAAAAATACAGAAAGGTCAAGAAGAGTTTAGCTAAATTTATAGATTCAGGATCTGTAACCAGTTATTAAGGAAATGAGAGTGTCTGGTGCTGGGGTCTGACAAGCCAGTGGACAGGCAGGCTTTTCAAGACATGTGACCCGTTCCCTGGTGCCATCGCCAGAGACAGGCTCCCAGGCAGATGGACTCGGCTGGTGATTGATCTGATTACAGGCCTTTTACTTCCCCTCCTCCTTGTCCCATTGTCCCATTACAGTCTTTGTTCTGCAGCCTGTTGGCTGGCAGGATGCTTACTGGAAGGCCGGGGCAAACAGGCTTACACCTCTGCCTACAAGGCTCTCCTGTGGAACATCCAGCTTGGCATGGTCCATCTTCAACCTTGTAGAATGAAGGGTATCTGAGGAGTCTGAAGTGTCACACAAGGAAATATGCTCCATATTCTCCTGCCTGGCCTATTCTATGAGCAAAGAAGCCCAAATTATGTCTGGGGAAAGAGTCTCTGTGACGGGGTAAGCAGGGCAGAGGCAGTGAGAGGAAGAGAGAAAGAAAGGGTCTGGCTAAGCTGGGTAGTCTGGGTAATCTGCTTCATGATGGTGTTGGCTTTCAATGCTTATAACTCAAATGCAATAAATCCCCTCTGAGGACCTGGCTACCAGAGCTGGAGTGGGGATCCTGGGGCCTAGCCATGGGCAACTGGAGGTGACCTGCCACTGTCTGTGCTGCTCCTGGTGGGAAGCAGGCAGCATGGCTGGTTGATGAGCCATGGGCTGTGGAGCCACAGGGAGGACTCCTGTCTTGCTCTGGGCTCAGGCCACATCCAGTAGTCATGTAGAGAGATGTCAGACTGCACATCTGAGGAAGGAGATGTTGCAACAGTCCAGACAGGAGAGCATTTTGAGCACTGACTCTAGACTGAGCTGGTCTCAGCAGCCAAAGGAGAAGGTACACAAGGAGAGGGCAGCAATAGTTGCTCTAGTTGGTCCAAGGCCAGGGAACAGAAATGCAAATAGGATTCAAAGCGGTAGATTAAGTATAGAGGAAGGTTGCCCCCACATTAAAAATGAGCACATTTCCAGCCTGCTGGACTGTGGATCATACACTCCTAAACTGCTCTTCCTTGGGACTCCTATAGGCGCCCTTTACACACCCCCGCACAGCATTCGTTACACAGTACTGCGACTGATCATCTGTTTGCACCCCAGCAAACAGTCATTGAGCGTCTACTACGTGCTAAATATTCGCCGAGCACTGCAGAAATGAAGATGAACATGATTTGGCTTCCTGCTTTGCATAACCTAAATTATCACGTGTGCTGTTCAGACCAAAGATATACCTAGGAGGATGAAAATGGGAGTAGGCTGCTGTCTTGGGCAGTGAGGTGGGGGGGGGGGGAGGGTGGAGAGGGGAGGGAAAGCAAGAGGCAATGCCTGAACAGAGTATTGAGAAATAGGGATTTTACTGGATACAGTGGTGGGAGAGCATTCCAGGCAGGAGCAGCACCCTGAGTAGGAGGTCAAGCTTGAACCTACCAAGTGAGGGTAGCGTGGAAAGCTGAAAGCAGCTGATACAGGTGGAATAGAGAGTGTGGGAGTGGAGAGGGGTGGGGGGTGCTGGCAAGTGCCTGTGTGTTATGTGCGTTGGGGTGAGTGAGCGCTGGGGAAGGAAGAGGGGGGAAGAGTAAGACAGCCCTCAAGTATGCAGGGACACACCACAGGGAGCCTTGTGCAGAGCGTTAACAAGTAGACTTTACTTTCTGACACCAATGAGGAAAGGTAACATGATTGGATTGAAGTTTTAGGAAGATCAGTCTTAACGTTCCTTAGGGTTTTCCATGACTTGGGAAAAGGTCTCTGACATGATGGTAAAGGAAAAAAGGACTTTTCTATTCTCTCTAATTTATCACATTATTTTTAGGAGGGTCTAGGAGAAAACAGATCAATATTTTAGCACTGAATATGTCTAGAGGATTGTATTACCAGTGATACAATTTGTGTTTATAACCTTGTCATTATTCCATTTTTTCCTGAATGAGCATATATTGCTTTTATTAATAATGAAAAAAGAACTATTAAATTTTTTTTTTAAAAAAAGAAAAGAAAATACATCCGGTAGTCATGTAGAGAGATGTCAGACTACACATCTGAGGAAGGAGATGTTGCAACAGTCCAGACAGGAGAGCATTTTGAGCACTGACTCTAGGCTGAGCCTCATTAAGGAAGGTTCCGTGCTGGATCAGAGCTGGCACATAGTAGAAGTCCAAGAATCTACGGAATGTACCATGGGGCTCTTGGGGAGAGGGCAAAAGTCATCTGATAAAACAACAGGTAAGGGTGCTGCTCCAGCATCACACACCACACCAACCTCTTAGCTGCCCAACCCTGTTTTAAAAATGTATATACTATTCTCTGGACAAAATTAGATTGTACTTATTTCCAGGCAAATAAAAGGTGTGGGTGGGGAAGAGAACTGTATAGAAGGAAATGCCATGTTTAAGCAAATACATTTCAGGTTTGTGACTTTCTCTTAAATTTTTTTTTTTTTTTTTTTTTTTTTGAGAATCGAAACTTTCAACAAGCTCAGGAACCTTTTCCATAGAGGGAGGCCAGAGGCACCCAGTGCCACAAAACACACACCTCCACCATGGGTGTGATGCAGTCATTATTTTCTTCCCTCTGGTCTCTTTCCTTCCCTCTTCCCTTGTCACTGATGAAGCAGGCCGACTCACCTCGAGGAGGGCAAAGCATACATACACACAGCTGCAGCTTGGCCCTAGCCATGTTTGGTGCCCCACAGGGCTGGCCCAGGGAGGTGAATGCTATCAAAGCAGGAGAACCAGAGGGCAGGAAGCAGGTAGACACATTTTAGGATGCCAGGCTACCAGGTAGACTGAACAAGACCTCAATCCCGGCCAGCCCCTACCCCAAAGGCAAAGGATTATCAGTCAAGGGGCCATTGGTACCATCTGAAGCCCAGTGAACTACTGTGACATCCTACATGAGGACAAGGGCTCTGAGAGGAAGTGTTCTTTCTAGAGGCTTCATCTTTCACATCAGGCCGGCTGTGAAATGCTGTGGCTGTTTAGAAACACATGAGATTTTTCACATGGCCCGGAAGTTATTGTTCCTCAAACTTGAGGAATAAAACCAAATCATATAGGTTGTTGAGCTATTACCCTGCCCTGTTCACCCAACCACTAATCTATTGGCTGACAAATACTGTGTTCTCATGGCCCAGGACGTGGTAATAGAAGAAAGGGACGGCACTGCTCCCTTCTGACATTCACAACACAGACGAGGTGGCTAAGAGCTAACATTTGTAGGATGCTTGCTTATCATCGTACAAAGCACATTCACACCTACTCAATCATCATGGTATCTCTTTTGAGATAAGATTCTGGTGGAAGGAATCATCACTGCTGATAAAGGAGAAAAAGAGAGGCCCAAGGAGACTAGGTACCTTGCCTGTGGCTACACAATAAGGAGCAGAGGCAGAATTACAATCCAGGTCTGATTCCTTACACCCCCACCACTGCCACCACCCATCCTCAGGTCTAGGAGAAGGTTTATTAAAAATCACACAGGGGGAAGCACCTGGCTGGCTCAGTAGAGCACTTGACTCTTGATCTTGGGGGTCATCGGTTTGAGCCCCATGTTGTAGAGTTTACTTAAATAAATAAAAAGGAAAACGATACAGGGAAAGCAGGAAGAGTTCTTACTCCGGGCTTGGAGTTAGAGACAATATCTTAACACAAAATGTGGAAAACACGTGTGAGATCTATTTGTGGGGAGGTGGGTGGGCACCTTCTCTTGGTAAATAAAAGCAGTGATTAAAGACCAAGTCTGGTAGATGAAAACTCAGAAGTGTCCTCTGATGTCCAGAGGGACTTGCCAAAGGAGTTCTGGGGGAGCTTCAAGGGTTTGTCTGTACTGTAGGTGAGCTGGAGAACCCCTACCCTTGTTTCCTACCAGCAACCCTGGGGCAGAAGCCTTGGTGCAGTCATGACCACGTGGCCATCAAGCACCAAGGGCGGCTCTGGGACTCCGAGACACAAAGGGTCTCAAGGCTTTTGGGTGGAGCAGAATTTGGTGCTATCTCTGGAGCAACCAAAAAAGAAAGAATCCAAGCCCTAGATACAAAAATCCAAGTGTGCTAGATGCTCCTATGAAATTTCCAGACTCTGAAAATTGGAAAGAAACTTATTAGCTCATCTTATACCGAACTAAGATAACTCCAACCCCCTGGTCTAGGTCCCACCCTCCGGAGCAGCAAAGAGTGAGACGAACCCTTCTTTCCCATGGCAGTCCTCAATTAATCTGGAACGGCTCTCCTGAGCCTTCTCTCTCCTAACTTCTCCCCATATTTAACGCAGTATCTTTAACTTTCCTTCAAATGATAGGGACCACATGGTACCGTTTACACCTCCTCTGGGGCCCTTCCACAGAGTTCAAGACCACTGCAGAATGCTGCATTCAGAACCTGATGCATGACTCACACACTGCTCATGGCAGGTATGGGCTGAAGACCTTTGAGGACAATGGGGCTATTATTCTCCTTGACTGTACATTGTACTTTCATTGACTTGGCCTATGATCACAGTGGCTATTTTGGCAGCTGTCACACTGTGGTACGTTAGTCAAAAACTCTGGGACTTTCGTAGGTTCTAGGTCTTCCTTTTTCTAAGCCACAGAGCTAATGAAGAGGAGTACACGTCTCAGAGGTAAAAATGCAACTCGGGATTCTCAAACACGCCTGGGGAAACAACCACTTACTGTTGCTTCATTGCTATCCCACAGTGGGTATGTCCTGGGATGCGAAGGAGGAAAAAATAAAGGGAGGGACAAATGATCAAATTTTGGTGAGAAGATTCTGAGAAACTAAACCAAACGCTCCCTCATTCCTCTCCATGGTATGGGCTTGGTTTTACTTGTTTGGCCAAAGAAATCTCTATAATTCTGGGTTCATCGCAGGTCCTCAAGAAGGAGTTATTGGTGGAAGAAGAAATTAAAGTTCTCATTGTGGGAACGTACCACAGAGAAACCACTCATCTGATAGATGTTTGTCGAGAGCCTATTACAGGGCTGATCTGCTCTACCACCACCCCACACTTCCTCTCTTCTGGGAAACCTGCTCTCATGGACTTCTCAATAGCGGCACTTACCTGTTTAACACCAGATACACCGATTACACAACCAGAGGCCTGCAGGGACTCCCAGCAGTGCTAAGGTGAGCAGTCACAGCAGGATAAAAGTAATCCAAAATATAGAAAAATACAGCCTTTTGGAAACAAGTGTCTACTGATGTGTGTGCAAAAGCCTCCTATATACTCATGGAGGAGGGGAAAATAATGTCCTAAATGACCAATCATCTTGCCGGGTAGGGAGGCTGCAAAGATTAAGACAATGAAAAGATCAAGGTGCTTTAACAAATAACCCAACAGAACCCTCTAAGAGCTGTCCCTGGCAGTGGGCGGCTTACACAGTAACTGCCATGGGGCTGCAGAGGAAGTCTGGCCTGGACTGGTCGGGGAAGCCCTTCTGGGCAGATGAGATTCCAGTGGGGTCCTGAAGGATTGTTATGCTTCAGATAAGCAAAAATACGAGGGGGAGCATTCCACAGAAGTAGGGCGGTATGAATAGAAACTTGGAGGGAGGAAAGCCAAGTGAGTGAGGAAAACCATTTGGTCGGAGCAGAGTTCATCAACCAGAATAAATAAGTCGTTGTAGGCTGGCTAAAAAACACGAGAATATTGGATACGTGTGAATTTTATCCGTGGGCCGGTGATTTCCAAAGTTTGATCATCTACCTCTATCAGTAAACACAATTTTGGTCATGCATTGCCAAAACATGGAACTTACGTATAAATCACATCTCTGTGTTACTGCATTATCATTATGCACATAATAAAATATACCTGAATCGTTTTTAAATGATGAGATGAGGAGATTCAACAACTGTTTTCCTGTACCTCAATAAAGTGTACTGTGTACCCAAAGGCACCCCCACCCTGGAGATGACCACATAGGCAAGAGGGAGGAGGCCGTGTGCGCTTTCACCGAGGAGGGAGGCAATAGAGGTGCTTGTGGAAGACCCGCCAGGAGACGGAGGCCCAGGAGGGAGGCAGACCGGGTCAGGGGAACTACTGCAATAGTCCAGGCCTGAGGTCAGGGCTCAGGTGGTGAAAGGGAAAATGTGAAGGGAAAGACAAAGGATGATATGATTTGTAAGGAACAATATTGTTAAGCCGTATCTGGAGAACGAAGAGGGGGTGTGGGTCCGTGTGGAGAGAAAAGGGGAAGCAAGTGGGAAGTGGTCAGAGAGACAAGCTTTGAAAAGCCAAGGACGGTGCCCAAGAGAGCACTCGACTCCCACCAGCGAGGCGGGGGGGGGGGGTGACGGGAAAGTGGACCACCCTCAAGAGTTAGACGCAGTTACTAAAACATCAGCTGAGATGTCCTTTCTAACGTAGGAAGGAAAACTTAGAAGGAGAAAGAGAAAATTCTGTGTTAAATTTCCTGGGCGCTCTCTAAGGTGGGAGATTTGGGGAGGAAGTCACTGTCATCAGAATTGCTATCAGGCAGCCTTTCCTGCACAGCATCCAGCATCTTCCTCTCACTCCTGGGCCAAGGGGAGAAGGGTTTAAATGGTGCTGATTACAGACAGGACTGCCCAACAGAAGTCTAGCAGGAGCACAGGCATTTATCCTAATCAGAGTCGCAGGAAAAACTAAACCAGCGACCTGGATGAGGGTGCAGGGCAAGGAAAAAGCTCCCAATTGTCATCATGGGGATACGCGGCAACGTGAAAACATGGGCTAGAGGAACAGCACTAACCGAAAACGAGCTCTTTCACCAGCACGGCGCCAAAACCCTCGAGCAGCCAGACCCATAACCCTTCTCTGCAGTGGTCTGACTGGCCCCTGAGACAGTCACAAGCTCGGCCAGTTTGCAAGCTAGAAAATTGTCTGGGGTCCCCGAATAAAATTACCTGGTGTTTTCAAAGACCCAATCCATGTTCTGGGTCTCAGTGGCCGAGTTAGATTCAGGGCTGACCAGTCACTGACCAAATGCCGCTGCGTCCCTGTGGGCCAGCGGGCTGGGCTCACAGAGAGGCTGTCTTGTCTTGGATACTTTTTTCCTTTCATCAATGCCACAGTCCCAAAAGGACCTACTCATTGCAGACGCCCATTCAACAACAACAACAACAAAAACAAACAAACAAAAAAAAAAAGGCCAAAGACTTTGAAGCACAGGTATTTGGAAACCATCATTAGCTAGAAAGAATCCTATAGGAGGAATGGGGATAGGTACACAGGAGGCCATGGCAGACCGACGCCAGGCCCCAGGAGCCACATGGGGGTGAGACACACACAGAACTGCCTCCAGGACCCCCACTTACCAGCTTGCTTTTGACCAATTGTTCTATTGCACTGACAAGGTCTGCAGCAGAAGGTACTTCAGTGGAAGTCTGCCGGGCTGCTAGCAAAGAGGAGGACTGCAAGACATTGAGCAGCAAAGGAAAAGCAGATTAGCAAGGAATGAGGAATAGCAATTAGGAAGAAAACAGCAAGTCCACAGCTCAAGGCAGGCAAAGGGAGCAAAGCTTTAGTTCAGAGGCAGGAGATCACAGAGGGAGATAGGAGGTGGTGTGGGTGCGGGACAGGCCTGCCTGACCCCTTGTCAGGAATCCTGGCCAGCGGCAAAGCGGGGATGGGACCGGGCTCTCCCTAGGCAGGCCTCCAGAGGAGCTGAGGGCAGGGTCTGCGGAGTTCCTGGGAGGCCCATAGGTAAGGGCTGCCCACTGCTGTTCCAGGGTACGAAAGGAGTCCATAAACCTGGCCTCAAACCTGGCCTCTCTCCTCTCTGGTCAGAGGAGAGAAATTGTCTTTGCTTTATTTAAATACAAATTTTAAGTCTAGATCTTCAGTGTGTATCAAGTAAAATTCAGGGCAGAGCACTGAAAGACCAGGAAGCTAGAAACCCCTGCCCACTCACCTGTGTGCACACGCACGCGCGTGCACACACAAACCTCCACCAACACAGCTGCTTGTGGCAAGGCCCCTGAACTGGAACACCTGGATGTAATAAGTGGTTTTAGCAAGGACTTGTGTATCTGACACTGGAGTCACCAGGGACTATCCCATTCACAGTGAAAGGAGGCTCAAGCCAAGGGGCTGCCCCCATCCAGCCTGTACCAGCAACAGGGACTGACTGGTCCACGTGGCTGTTTGGTCGACGGTTTGGGGAATCCCGCTCATGGAGGGACGGGGTTTTTTTTTTTTTTAATATTTTATTTATTTATTCATGAAAGAAATAGAGAGAGAGAGAGAGAGAGAGAGAGAGAGAGAGAGAGGCAGAGACACAGGAAGAGGGAGAAGCAGGCTCCATGCAGGGAGCCCAACGCGGGACTCGATCCTGGATCTCCAGGATCACACCCTGGGCTGAAGGCAGGCGCTAAAACACTGAGCCACCAGGGCTTTCTGGGATGGTGGTTTTTATCTTCCTTTTCCTATTTGAGAAGAAATTGGGTGGTGGGGGTGGGGGGGGAATGGTTCACCCTGCAGGCATGTAGGGCACAGCAAAGCAGAGGGCAGCTGTGTTCCCAGGGCCCAGGACACATACTTCTTCAATCTTTGACATAGATCACAACAGGGATAAAAAGCTGAATGTCCTGTCCGTGCTCTGGCTTCAAGTGTGTCCTGTCAGTTAGGGGGAAGAGTTTCAAAAAGGAAGTTACGGGCAGCCCCAGTGGTTCAGTGGTTTAGCGCCGCCTGCAGCCCAGGGCCTGATCCTGGAGACCCGGGATCGAGTCCCACGTCGGGCTCCCTGCATGGAGCCTGCTTCTCCCTCTGCCTGTCTCTCTCTCTCTCTGTGTCTCTAATAAATAAATAAAATCTTTTTTTTTTTTTTTAAAAAAGGAAGCTACTTGTCTAATTTAAGAGTCGCTCTAGGTCTTTGTTTCTGACATGGGGTTATAAAAAAAAAGTCAAATGTAATTAGATATAACAACAGTCTTTTTTTCTCTTCTGGGAATGCAGGAAAGGAGCTTAAGTCTGTTTGGAAATCCAAAGCTATCAACTTTTTGATTTAGTAATCCTACCCCTGGGAACTCATTTCAAGGACAGAAGTCAAAAGAACCAACGCTGTATGTACAGAGTGATCTGTGGCAGTGTTAGCTGGCGTCGCCAAAACTGGAAACAACCCAGTATATCCCAAAACAGGCCGGTCAAGCAAATTATGGTATATCAGATAATACTCCCCAGCTATTAAAATTATAGTTATGAAGGTAACATTAGTAAGAGTTTAGAAAATGCTGAATAAAACATTGAACATATCAGGTGCATATTAAAATTATAAAAATAAGACACACACGCATACAAATATTAGAACAAATATTAGAAGGGAACATGGAGAACCAAGGTGATCGTGTGACGTTACAATAGGTAAGACTTAAAAATTCCTGGTAGACAATGTAAAAATTACTCTAATAAGTTCAACTCCATTTGCTAAAAGTTCTGGGGCTCACCAAATGTTTCAGGAAAACAAATGGACAGTCACACGGGCAGGGCTGCGGAGGGTTAGTGTGTGTCTATAAAGGCACTGTTGCCATCTGCCCTCTTTCTGGCTAACAGAAAGGCTACACAAACATCTGGGGTTAAGTCCACTTTTTCAGTTAAAGATTATCCAGAAACAACATAACATCCGTTTCCCCCCAAACAAGCTGTGTTTGAGGGAATTCGAGGGGGAGGGTTTGTGACCTTTCCTTATCTCATGCAAGCTGGCACCTCGTGCAGAGGGCCGCGTGGGAAGGCCGATACGGTGACTCGAGCGGCCTACCCCGCACACGCTCTCACTGTTTGTAGGACAGTTTACAAGGACAGGCGTCTGGGGACACAGTGGGGTGGCTCCCATGCTGACCTCGGTGTGAGGCATGGGCATTTCTGCCCCTGGAATGTAGGATGGGCATCGCACCACGCTTCCCTCTACTCTTCCTTCCAACGGGTAAGAGCCGGGGCCAGCAGCATCACTTTAGGAGGGGCTGCAACCGTGCACTTCTCATGGTTGAGTCACAGAGGGGGGCATCTCTGTCACCGTCCTAGGATCTTTCCCTATGGCGCGGCCCCAGGAAGACCCCAGCTACCGTCCGTGGGTTCAGGATCCAAATACAAAGCAGAAGGAATGAAAACAAGAACGGGCCTATGACCACGAAATGCTGCAGCCCCTGCAAACAGAACTTTTGGAACCGGATCCCAGGTGGTGGTGTGAAGGCTCACAGGGATTTTGCAAAGCCAGGCACGTGGCAACCTGCACGCAGGTTTTCCCACCTCTGTCAGCAATCCCTCCCCCTTAGCGGCATCTCCATCCCTCATGTGGTGCTTGCAGAATTTGGGCTTGACCGGAAGCTTCTGTTCGTTATAGGGATTTTGGAATTGAGTCCAGGGAAAACGATCAACTAAAACATCTATGGTTCAGAAGTCAGGTGCAAAGAAGTGATTATGGCCTGGAATGGCCTCAGACTCCTTTTGAGACAAACCATTCCTTTCAGGGCCTGCAGCTTCCAAAGACAAAGCCATTACCCTTCATCAGGGGCACGAGACGCCAGGTGGGTTCCCACTCTGGGACTTCTGCACACGCCCCCTACGCGGCCCAGAATGAAGTCAGACGTCCAGGGCCAGGGGAGGGGACACCTACCACATATAGGTGGGGTCCCTATCTCCATCGATTCAGAGAAATAACAAGAGAGAGAGTATTACTACCCCCGCCCCGCACACAATACAAAATCACATGTATTATACATGGTTCCTTCAAGTGAGAAAGTAGAGAAGCCCTACCATCTCGTCCTGTGTAGGGTCATTGTCAAAGATCTTCATGGGAGGAGGGAGGGGTGTGTGTGACTCTTCATCTGGCTCATCTTCGCCCCAACCTTTCTTGTTCTTCTAGAACAAAAGAGCAGCATTAGTCATACAGTCCCAGGTTTCATAGAGTTAAAGATACTCAGAATTTTCTAAAAAGCAACATATAAGATTCCATCTTTCCTTAACACATCCTTATGTTTTTCAGCCTCACTGTCCTCCTCTGTGGAATGGGGGCACATTCTTATCTCAAAGGCACCGAGGTTCAAATGGGGGAAAACATACCTACACACACACACACACACGGACACACACGAGAGACATCTCCCTCACTAATTAGTCAGGAAAAGAAAAAGCTGAGAGTGGTCAGAGAGAGCCTGACTTTTTAAGCTTTTGGAGGACTATTAAAACCACAACCTGAATATCACCAGGCTCTACCGCCATTCTCAGAGGGAGAAATGGCAGGTGGCATAAAATTACAAACAGAGTCTGGTTACATAGCAGGAAGCACCTCTTAGCCACATCGACGATTAGAACAGGTTAGTTGGCCAGAAAAAAACAAAAAACAAAAAACAAAACAAACCCCAGTTCTCATCCCTCAACTAAACCACATCCACCGCAGGATAGTTACAGGATCTCAGCTTTGAATGGGTCTTCAGAGGTCACCCAGTCTGACCTCTCAGCTAATACAGGGATCTCTCCGCCTGCTACGTGAGGTCATCTGTCCCGACCCCTTCCAGCATGGCTGTCTATTCCCTTTCGTGGCAGCTCACTTCATCACTGGTTGACCTCCCTTAAAATCCCTCTTTGAGCTGCAACCTGCGAGCCTTCACCTGTTGGTCACATAATTCTCTCCACTGGAGCAACCTGGAGCGGTCTCTTCCCTTTCATAGGTGGCACTGGTCTAGATACTTGAAAACAGTTATACTCGCCCAGCACAGCCTTCTCCTTCCAAGAGAGATGGTCCATATTCTTTTATTCTTATTCTCAATTAGCAGGTTTCAATGTAGTCCTTAGTTAGAGGCGGGGGATTAGGTGACCAAAATGTTCCCCTATCTCCAAATCTGGCAAAATGTTGTTTATCTACCAGAAATTCTAGGTGCTGGTGAGTCTCTGAATTGATCACACAGCAGACTGGCAAGGTCTTGTTGGTATGAATGCTCAGATCGCTGGTGCTCAAGAACACAAACTACTGGGGACTAGAGACTGGCTGCTTTACAGACCCCGTGGAAGGATGTCCTTGTGGAAGGATGCCTCACAAAACTCCAGGAAGGATGTAGGCCAGAAGCCCCCTCCTGATGGAGGCTCCGGGGCCATGTATAAGTACCTCATCTGCACTGTCTCCCTGAGGGGTCGTCTCATCCCCAGGCTTCGGAGATCCCAGGTCGAAGCTCTTCCGGCCATCTCGCACTTTCTTCTGCTTCTTGATGTTTCCATCTGCCTTCCCGCTGTTGAGCCGGCGCACAGGACTGGTCAGCCACTTCTTGAGGGTGTTGGTGGAACGCTTGGGGCCCGGAGAGCTGTGGATGGAGTTCAGGGAGGGCTGAGACTGCAGGTTGGCCACCGACTCAGACTTGCCTCCGTTTTCACTTGAGGAATGAGAGTATGCATCTGAGAAGAAAGAAGAGACAGACACAGCCACGTCAGAGGCAGTGGGGGGTGCGTGGGGGGGTGGCCGGCTGGGAGCGGGCCCGTTCCATCCTCAGGAAGCTGGGACACAAGGCAAAACGTCAAGGCCAGCTGCAGACCCTGGTCAAGGCAGCCCTCTCTAGAGGTCAACAGCCGATCCTCACTCAATTTTTAACATGCAAGGCACTGCTCTGGGGGCTATGGATATAGGAAGGAACAGAAGACAAAGCCTCCTACCTTCATGGACAAAAAAAAAAAAAAAAAAAAAAAAAAAAAAAATCAAGATCCTGAGCAAGAATCACCAACTAATAACAATGTCATGGAACACCTATTAGGTAGTATATTTTAATGACATATAAAACCTAGGTTTTATTTTCAAAGACCCCTTATCTAGCTCCCCGCCCCACATACATGCAAAGAAAGAGAAGAGCGAAGGAGCAAGACAGAGCGTGCAACGTAAAGACAAATTCACGTAGCGGAATGTGACTGATTTCCACCGGGCTGGTACGGACTCTAGGTGATAAGCTAGCAGAGTTCAGAGGAAGGTCAGATCAGTGTAGGAGGGACCGGTCTGAAAGGGTTTCATGAAAGAGCTGTGTCGGAGGAGAGAAGGGGAGAAGAGATTTCAAAAGGGGGAGATAGAGGGAACCACAGCACCCACACTGAAAAATAATGAACACAGCCCCCGAGGAGATCCAAGAGGGAAACTGGATGGAAAGATTAGTAAGGACACTTAATAATAAACTAGGAGTGTGTGACCTCTGTTGTGAGACTATCCTGGGAAATGACACAATGAAAAAGGTTTCTTTTAATTAATCTGGTGACTATAGACGGCATAGCCCTGAGAAGGAGGGGTCAGGATCCAGAAGGCCGCACTAGGGCAGCCCACGGGGCTAGAGAGGAACAAATGTGAGGCATTCCAAAGCAAGAAGTGTCTAGATGACAAATCAGAGGTGAGTTCTCTCTCCGTCTGCTGCTTCTCGTTACAAAAATGGTCTTAGGAGAATCCCTGACCAGCACTGCAGACCCCTCATGGGTCCACCCCCCCCCCATTCTCCCCCACCAACCCTGTGCCGGTTTGCATACTGATATTTAAATCAAACACATGACTAAGTCTTGAAATAAATGACCGCAGTGGTTTTTCACACCTCCTCCTCTCAAAGACTGAATCACCTTTTCCTATAATGACTTCATCCTAGACCTAGCCTTGAGGGCTAACCTGGCTTTTTAGAGGCCCTCTGGCCTAGACAGAGCCAACAGAGAAGAAACAGAATCCCAAAAGAAGGCGGATGAATACTTTTGCCAACAGAGAGCTGTCTCCAGCTTCTACAACTGACGGATCTTGAGGGGTCCCAAACTCAGGCTCTTGACCCTGTGGGGACTTTCTCTGATGTTGCTAAAGTTCTGTGTGTACTTTGGAAAACAACAACTGAATGTTTGCATCTAGAAGCCCAGAAATTGAGGTCCTACAGGCCCCTGGTATGAAGGATAATTTACAGGGTTGCTCTGCTCAGGGAATATTCGGGGATCCACTGACATGGTTGGCGTCCCTTTAAGGACAAAAACTGTAATCTTATCTCAGGGAATTCCTTGCTGGCTGTGGTCCTGGGTATGTTGACATTATTTCTAAAGTGTTTGGTATGGGTCAGACTCCTGTTCTCAGAAGCCTGGGTGATAAACATCTCTCCAGCACTGGTTGTAGAACCAGGGCCTTTCTGTTATCTTTCTGCTGATAAACCTGGAAAGCTTTTCACTCACCAGACCCCTGTGACACCACATGGCTCTATGAAACCAAGCCTTCAAATCTGAATCAGCACATACTGTGTTGGCAGCACTAGAGGACAACCACGTTAACTGGGTGCTCGTTAGTAGGCCGGGCAGGTGACCGTCCACGCTCTCTGCTCCATCACAAAACAGAGCCTGACTTCGAGATTCACAGATGCAAATCTAGACTGACTGTCCTTCCCTGCTGTCACGGGGTCCCGCTTTGGTGCATTCTGTCCAAATGAATGGAAAGAATACGAATGACAAAGTACAAATTAAAAATCAAGCATGTTCTCACTTTTGCTGTCTCAGGTTTATTCTGTGTAAACAATGAGGGCCATTTGATCGCAGCCCACATAAAAGAGGATTCAAGTGTTGGAAGCAATCTATAATTCATCTAGTGAGGGTCCTGAATTGAGACGGGACCATTTCTAAATCACTCTGTTGGGTTTTGCCCGTTTTCGCTTTTATTTTCCAGCTTTGACATAACTGACACATGATACTGTACTAGTTCAAGGTGTAGGACACAATGATTTGATATTTGTATATACTGTGAAATGATCACTGCAATAGTGTAACATTCATCACCTCACATAGTTGTGATCTTTTTTTCTTAAGAAATTTGCTAAATTAGGGATCCCTGGGTGGCTCAGCAGTTTAGCACTGCCTTCAGCCCAGGGCGTGATCCTGGAGACCCGGGATCGAGTCCCACGTCGGGCTCCCTGCATGGAGCCTACTTCTCCCTTTGCCTGTGTCTCTCTCTATGTCTATCACAAATAAATAAATAAATCTTTAAAAAAAAAAAGAAATTTACTAAATTACTTTGAATACATGATTTTGAAGAATGTGGCACCATTTCGTTTAGAAAATTTCTACTTTCCTTATTACTGCTTCAAAGACTAATTGGCATGCTATGCTCATCTCATCTTTAGAGATTTTATTTTAGTGCCGTTCCAGCCCTAGAAGTTCAGTGACTGATTTGTGACATCTGAAACAATAAGACTGCTATCCAAACTTTCCAAGCTAAGGTAGGTGCTATTTATTTGTGATTCTTGTCACAGGAAATAGAAAATCAAGAGTGTTTTGGGAAACCAAGGCTCATAGTTGGTGAGTGGCAGACAGGCAAGACTTAAGTCCAGATCTGACTCCACTGCACACACACACATATATTTTAAAAGATTTCACTTATTTGAGAGAGAGAGAGAGAGAGAGAGAGAGAGCATGAGCATGGGTGGGATGTGGGGGCAGAGGTAGGGGGAGAAGCAGACTCCCTGCTGACCAGGGAGCCTGACCTGGGGCTGCATCCCAGGTCTCCTGGATCATGATCCAAACTGAAGGAAGATGCTTAATTGACTAAGTCACCCAGGTGCCCAAATACTGCCCATATATTAATCTTATTTCTACATCTGCATTCATTCCATATATTCCTTTAGCCTCTACGATTATTGTAAAAGGAGCATCAAGCTGCTATCTATTTAACATTTCAAATATACATTAATATATAATTCATTTAAGTCATAAAATCTCAATGCTGAAAACAGTCTCAGTCTTATTTTATGGGTAAGGCAATGAAGGTTTAAATATGAGAAATCTATTGTTACAAATGAATTAGTCATAAAGCTGGGACCAGAACCCAGGCATCTCTACCTCTGCCCCAGGGCTCTGAACTAATGACTCCCCTACAGCCCTGAGGCACCGAAGCTGCCCGTACAGCTAATACCTGGTTTTAACACACTGGGAAGACAAATGTGTCCCTAGGCATTGTAGGTAATCAAGTTCCCTGGATGTTCTAGTATGTTCAACTTGCTTTATGGATCAGAAAAAAAAATCATATTCTGGGCTGGTTTTACTAGGAGATATTTTTAAGATAGAGAAAAATAGAAGGAAAAAAAGTAACAACCAGGTACCCACCACCTAGATATGATAAATGCAAACTTTTTTTTGGTCCATATTTGCTTCAGCTTTTAAAAAACAGAAATAAGAGATTTTATATATATAATATTTTTCATCCATTCACAATGCTATCCACTATTTTCTTCTTCCCAGAGTTAAATCCTGTTCTGAAGTTGGTGTGCATGCATCTTTCCCGTTCATGTTGTTAGCTATCTACTTTGCATGGAAATATAGTATTGTTTTGTATTTTTAATTTTTATACACTTGTCATAATATAGGTATCATTTTGCAACATGCTCCTTAATTCAAAATTATCAGAGATTTATCCATGTTCAGTCATGTAGATCTAGTTCATTCATTTTAATGGTTGAATAATAATCTTGCATAGGACATATTATGGTGCTTATAACACATTTTCCTAAGGATGGATATTTAGGTTGTTACACACACACATACACTTACTTGAAGCAGTCCTGTACAGGTCTCTGTTTATTTGTGAGAATTCTTCTAGGGCAGTGTTTCCCAAGCTACCTGTGGTCAGGGAGTCAAGGACTTGTTTTTCTAATTTCCAATCTGTTTCAGATCAATTTTATAAAATACAAAGTCACACTCTTAGTGTGGTAGAGTGTCAGATTGCTATAAAAGCTTCTAAATGCTTTTTCTCAGGCAGCCCTGGTGGCTCAGCGGTTTAGCACCGCCTTCAGCCCAGGACCTGATCCTGGAGACCAGGGATCGAGTCCCACGGCGGGGTCCCTGCGTGGAGCCTGCTTCTCCCTCTGCCTGTGTCTCTGCCTCTCTCTTTCTCTCTGTGTCTCTCATGAATAAATAAATAAAATCTTAAAAAAAATAAATTCTTTTAAAAAAAGTAAATAAATGCTTTTTATCATTTTCTGTGCCTATCTCACTGTGGACTGGAAACAAATGGCTAACAAACTTTTATGATGCGCATATCACACATTGAGGAGAACACACACTGCTCTAAACTCTAAAGCACCCATAGCACATACCTCGAGGTGGACCTGCTGGGCTTACAGAGGACATCTTGCCACCTACACTAGTTACCGCCAAATTGCACTCTGATTTACTCCCACCAACTGTGTACAAAACTTCTTATCTTTTGGAATCATCAACAAAATGAAAAAGCAATCTATCAAATGGGAGAAAAAATTGCAAATCATATATCTGAGAACAGGTTAATATCCAAAATATATAAACTCAATAGCAAACAAATAATCTGATTAAAAAATGGGCAGAGGATCTGAATAGACCTTTTTCTAAAGAGGACATACAGATGGCCAAACCCTTGTGCACTGTTGGTGGGAATG